GGAGATGATGGGAGATGTCATTCTGTAAATATGTAAATATAAAAATTTCTTATTGGTTAATGAATAAATCACTGTTGGCCAATAGGAAAGCAAGATAGTGTTGGAAACTGGCATTCTGCTGACCCCACCCCAACGATGGGTGGGACACACATGGCCATGTCATTGCTACATCACTCATTACGGGGCTGTGTAGGGACTCAGTTACACATGTTCGAGTTTCTCTCTTTAAGCAAGCGTCCCACACCACCCCCTGCTTTTGGTTGGCCACCAGCTCTTCCCCTTTCTCTTCTCTCCACCAATAAACTCCACCTGGGCACGTTGAGTCTCGTGTTCGTGTTTCATTGGCAACAGCTGTAGCAAACACAGCAGGCGGTACTAGGAGACAAGGAGGATTCTGAGAGATGTAGCAGAGGAGATTCAAGATGTAGATACTGGAGGGAAGAGGACTGGACCCTCTCTCCAGTAAGATGAGACCACGTGGAAATACTTAGGTTAATAGAAATGGGTTAATATTTAAGACAGAGCTAGCCAATAAGAAATGCTGATAACTGGCCAACAGCTTTATATCTAATACAACGGCTCTGTGTGTTATTTGGGACTGACGTAGCTCTAGGACCAGGCTGGCAGGAAAAGTGCTTGTAACGGGTGGATCTGAGAGGGGTGACTATGAATAAAACACAGTACAAAATTCTCAGAGCTAATGAAAAGAACTCCAGGCACTGGCCCTGGCAGACCCTCCTTGCTGACCCAGGGTCGTGCCAGGGAAATGGGATGGGGGTTCATTCTTCCCCAGTGTTTATTCTCAGGGTCTCCCTGCTTGTGGTCTCATCAGTCGCCTGCAGTCTCGCAGTGTCGGAAGCTGCCGAAGTCAATCAAGGGTCGGAGACCGCGGTGGACTACAGGTCTGAAGGGGGGGCTGTTCCCTCTCACGCTCCCTCCCAATCTTACTCCAGGGGAATCAGAGATTGCACAGGATCTACTCAGTGAGTAAGTTTATTTTCCCCACACTCTCCCTTTCTTTTACCACATGCTTGAACGGTGCCACAGATGCTACAAGACCCTTAGAGTAGAAAATCCCACTAAGAGTGCAAGTCCCCTTTGAAATAGTTTGAAAACAGATTATACTGAAATACGAGCCCACCACTCCTCAGTCACCACCACTGTGAGCGTTGTATACCTCACCCACATCTTCCCACCATACGCCTACATGGAGGCACTCACACGGCGGTCGTTTTGTTTTATAAAGGCTGTGGCGCTAAAACAAGTTTAGGAGGACACATGGATACCACCCTTAAACGTTTCTTATACTTAACAAATCCTATCTTTGGTTTTTGGAGATGCAGCTTAGGAGCCCACGACACAGTTCTCAGAGCTGATTCCCACACATTCTCCTATTTAGACTACAGAACTGCTCCGTCAGGCAAACTTTATTGTCTTCTCTCTGCAGAGAGAAAATGGAAACTCAGAGGGGTTAGACACTTGTCTGGGGGTCACAGTCGTGGCAAGGCAGGATCTTCTACATCCAGGGCACTACATAGCTCTGCTCTCTAATGGCCTTGGCTAGAGATGGGGGCAGGAAAAGGGTGTGTGTTAGGCATTCATTGGTGCATCCAGAACAAAGCTCAAGCGACACCTGCCTATACCATAGTGGCCAGGAAGATCACACTGGGTGCCAAGGCTTCAATCCCTGCTCTCCTCCAGGCATCTGCCAAGTTCAAAGGGCAACAAGATGGCTGATGTTATTGTTCTTTTCCCATGGCTGCAGTTGGGGGAGCAACCTCAATATGACTGTTGGGGTGTTAGAACTTTTAACTTGGGGAGACAGCAGATTCATGAAAAGCACCGCCAGCCTGAATGCCCAGGAGGCTGACGGTCCTTTTCATCTCACAGGGTGGTCTGAGCCTCATCTGGCAGTTCATTAGGATGTCCCTGTCCCTCTTGGTAAGCTACTCTTCTAAATTTAACTATCCCTTATTACCACAAAGGGAAAACAAAGCATTCTGAAAACACAAAAGCAGTTCAGCCTGCTGTATTTAATCTCTGACCAGGATGGCCGTAAGTGCTATTTTGCTTTCCATGTAAACACAGCATTGAGTAAACTACAAAACACACAACAGCAACTCTGATGACAATCTATAGGTAGCTACTTTTACGTTGAGAAGAAATACCCAGCATTACCCAGGGTGACTTGTGACTTTTGGGGACCATGCCTCTGTGCCTGGAATTCAGAGTCCTGGCCCTGCCCGCCTCACTTGCATTTGAGCCTGCCCTTCACTATGCAACTCTATGGCATGCACCTCCAAACCTGCAACATTCCTACTTCTCATCTTCAGGAGCCAATTAACACTCCAAACCTTAACGTTTTCAGTTAACAAATCTCTAGATGAGGCTAACCTGGGAAAATCAGATGCAGTGCAACCTGGTTTCCTAAAGTGGCTTTAAAGAACTTTCCCAAAGGACAACCTTAGGCCAGGCCGGCCCCTTGGACTGCATAGTGAGTTTAGAGACAGCCTTAGGCAACCCAGTAAGTCTTGATGGAGGATGTCCCTCTGTGTGTGTATATATTTATTTCTCTTTTTGGTTGATGAATGAAACCCTGATTGGCCAGTGGCCAGGCAGGAGTACAGACAGGCAGGGCTAGCAGATGAGGGTGACTCTGGAGAGAGGAGAGGCTATGTGGCTGCTGAGGAAGCAAGATTCTCCACTGAGATCAGACCATGTGGAAACACTGAGATTCATAGAAATGGATTAATGAAAGAGCTACCCAGTAAGAAGCCTAAGCCACTAGCCAAACAGTCTAATACAGGTCTCTGTGTGTTTATTTGAGGCTAAACAGCTGAGGGGCCAGGCGGAACAGAAACTGTGTCTGCAGTCTCGTCTCAGGGACACACAGTTCAGCAGTGTGGCACCTCACTGGTGTGACACCTGAGGTTTACACACTAGTGCCCCAAAGTCCCCTTTACACTCCACAATAGACTATGGACTAGAACAGCCTCAACCATTCCACAAGGCCCCGTGCACCCAATACATGGGCACAGACACAGCCTCTATGTCCTTTTAACATACCTTCTACAATCCAAACCAAACAACAACAGCCCAGAAATGCTCAGCCACCACTTTGCTGCTTATCACTAATGGCAAGTCTCTGGCTTGACTGGTAAATTGGGAATCGCCAAACATCTTTTCTGAAAGTCTTACTTCAGGTGGCATCCGGTCAACAAACTGAATCCCTTCCACCTGGGCAGGTCATCCATGCTGGTTAGTTTATTATACCTGGAAGAGTTTAAAGATTTAGTTGTTTCCACGGCTTCAGTCCATAAGGAGCTGTCTCCTTTGCTGTGGGCCTGTGGAGGCAGGACACGGTGTGATGTGACACCGTGGGCGAAGAGTCCCAGCAGGCAGGGACCGGCCTGTCACAAGGTTTTGCTGCTCCACCAATGACCTGCTTCCAGCCAGGCCTTTATCTCCTCACCCATCACAGCACAGTGTTTTCAAACCACAACCCCATCCACGGATCAACCCCTGGGTCAGGTCAACGCCCTCATGAGGGATCCTGTGGCTCTCTCAGGGGTGGGATGATCCAAGCCCTCAGCACCTGAGCCTTGCTGAGGAATAGTTTGCATTCGAGCTGTAGCTGTGTGACACTGTTTACAACCATAGGCAGCTGCGTGGGGTGCATACTTAAATTGAAGGATGGCCTTTTGCATTTCTCAGTCTTGAATTGGACCATCCGGGTCTCAGAAGGCATGGGGAACTCCTGCTTTTTTGTTTGAAGTTGGTGCCATGGGACCCAGAAGGCATTTAGTCATGTACTTTTAAATAGGTAATGTTTTCAAAAGACAAGTACATACTTTTAAACAAAAATCTATTAAGTTGCAATTAGCAGGTACTCAGTCTGTCCTGTGACTTGTTTGACTCTGAATCCCAGTTAGAGAAGCTGACCTTTACCAGCCTGCCTCACAAATTCTCCACGTGATCAATCTGGTCACTCTGCCCACATTCATTCCAAAACCAAACTGGGAAACAGGCCAGCTACAATTCCAAAGAAAACCCTGCGTTGGCATGGGCATCTAGGTGAGAAGGGACTCCCAGGTTAACATGGAGCTGGGCACCGAGTTGATCCTACCCAAGTGACTAGCCAACAAAGCTACAGGTGCACACACAGCAACGGCAGCAGAGCTGAGCACTCACAACACAGGGTCTAGTCACTGCTCAGCAAGCTTAACTGGCTGCTTGAGCAAGAGACGTGGGCTACTGAACACACAAGCCCACCTCCCACCCTTATGGTTTTCCCTAGTACTGAAGACAAAAATCACAAAAAGTACATGCAGTCTCTCCAGAAGCTGGCATGCCCAGTAAAAAGCGTGGCCCCTGGGTAATGAAGGATGACTGGGAATCATACTTCCCATACTTCCTTTCACCTGAGGTGTTGCTTCATACAGATCGCATGGTAGAAGCAGCATGTCTGAGCACAGGTCCGCTGGGCCCTGGAAGGCAACTATCAACATACTGAAGCTCCCACCACTGTCCATTAGCTGTGTTCTGTAGATCTGATGAGGGGACTGTCCGAAGACGAGTGCTCATGTGATATGGCATAAAGCAAGCGCCAGAGTCCCAGAGAGCTGCAGAGTAACACTAAGTGATGTGAAGTACTCACTGTGCCTTAACCAGAGGAAATTAACCCCTTTTTAGCCCACAATGGTCCTTTGTTGTTAGAGGCTGCAATCTGTGGGCACAGAAGGCCCACAGCGTTGTGAAACGTCAGAATGCACAAGGTTACCAGTCCAGTAGGAAACTTTCTAGTCTGTGGGATTAACACCTTGTATTAGACGCCCAGCTTTGCTATCTGTAGTTTAAATTTAAAGGGAGACCTGGTACTTGCAATGGTGGAGAGTTGGTTTGTTCGGCCATGTGAAAAGTGTAGGTCACCACAGATGCCACTGAGATACAGCTTGGTAAACAGGCATTGCTTATTTAATAAGTACAGAATGTACACAGACTCCCCAGAAGAGCATCGCTTTATACAGGGTATTTACAGAATGCACAGTGTAATCCAGGGTATCTATACAATGCTGATTGATGCCCACGCACTCGGGGAGGGAGGATGGCAGAGGTCAGGAAGGACAGCTGTGTGTGGTTCAAGAGTCCATTCAAGAAGAAACGTACTTCTCAATACACAACTAAGTTCTCATTTAGTTTACTTTTCACTTATTTCTCTTGTTCACCTTTGACATTTCCCAGGTCACTAGTGCCACCATGTAGGGTAAACATTAACAGCATGAGTGTGAAAACAAACAGCTCACTGAAAACAAATCTTGAGATTAGTAGAGTCAACGGCCCCAGGCATGAATGACATTATTCTAAGAAACGTCCTTACAAGCCAACATATATCACATTTACACTATTAACAGTTTCTGAGGCTTTTTTTCTTTCGGATTTAGCCTAAATTTTCTTATAAAAATATTTAGAAAATAATCAACATCCTGTAAAAGAGAATTTGGGACGATGTACGACATGATCAGACTCATTTCAGGACATCAAGCACGCATCGGTCAGGCATTTCCTGAACGGTAAAGGTCTTCGGCTCCCTCCGAAGTTAGGAGAGATGCAGGAGCACCATAGAAACAGCACGTGCTGGTAATGCTCCCCAGCCAGGGTGCCAGGTCAGGCGGCACTTCCAGGCCATGGACCTGAGCAAGTCCATTAACCCTTCTCAGCCCAGCAGTAGAGAGCTGTAGGGTGCCTGCCAAGGTGTCTATTAGGTCACTCCAAATGGTTATGCAGAACAAAACCAGAGCAACAACTGTTCATTCTGTCCAAACTCACCATGTTCATTCAATCCTTCAGACTGTTTAAACAGACTCCAAATCTCAAGTGGTACGGGAAAAAGAAGTGACAAGCACCCAACACACACCACACTTCTTGCCCAAGGATACCAAAGTATTATTAAATAACCAAAACAGTCCCTTACATTTGTAACTAACAATGAGCAAATATAACAAATCCCCACTGGGTTCTTAGGTTCTTTCCTCCAATATTCAATCAGTGGAGAAGGTTCTCTCCAACACACACATTTTTATACATTACTTTGCTCAGTCCTGACCGCGTATGCAAGGGCACAGGAGATGCCAAATAAAAAAGAAAATACTTTTCTAGCTTTTTAAGCCTCATAGATAGGGAAAAAGATGGTAGGATGATCAAAGTGTGGCTTGCAGCAATGCCATTTTTTAATACTTCATTACTTAGCTCTCCAAGTACATTGTGTATATACTTTAAAGTGCATGGCACAGGACACTGTGAACAAGATTACTATTTGGTCTCCATTATGCATGTTTGTGTCTTGGAATTAAAAAAAACCCAATCCCTGTAACTCATCAATCAGTATCACCTGAGGGACCAGGAAAGGTAGCTATGCAAATCTTTGGAGTGTTACACAGTATGTTTAGGAATAAATGGGAAAATAATTCAGAATTTATTGCACTTACCCTCTTATTTTTTATTCTAATAAATTATTAATAATAAAAAGAACAAGACATTATTATGACTAACACTTTTTACAACTTATTTAAAAATAACTTGAATAACTCTGAAGCTAAGACATATTTTTTGGATAACAAAAAGACACTATGCTGGCTGACATCTAGTATTTAGTAAATTACATTTATAATCAATGTTGATTTAAGGAACTATTAAAACACATTAAAAGGGAATTAACATGATTCAAATGTTTAGAGCCACACAACTCTATTTATAAAACGGAGCTTCATGTAGCCCAGGCTAGCTTCCAACTCATTTTGTACCTGAGGCTGGCCTTTAATCTTCTTATACTTCCTGAGTGCTGGGATTGTGGCATGTATTACTATGCCCAGCTAGTGCCCATACCATTCTTTAAAGGTATCTACCCCCAAAGCTCAGTTTCCCTAAGAGGAAGAAATACCCAAACACAAAACAGAGGCTTCACAAATATGCTCCATGGTCTCCCAGGACAGGTGGTCTGAACTTAATGCAGTGTTTAGTGAGAACAAAACCCAATGACAAAAGGGCTGGTACTAAGATGGCAACATCTAAGTATGCATCTTAAACACTGCAATTATCTAACAGGAACAATGATCTGGCTCAGAGTCCCTTTGGCTATCACGATATATAACTGTGTTTGAAATAATATACTGAAACACATTTGGGGAAACAATGTTTCGTTATGCTATGTAATTAACTGTCAGAGTTAAAAATGGACACACACACACACAGTTAACAGTGCTAAGTGCTGCTTCTCTTGGGAACGGGTCTTCATAAGCACCTTAGCCCAGCACTTCCCACCCTGCCTAATGCCTCGACCCTTTAATGCAGTCCCTCATGTCGTGGTGACCCCAACCATGAAACTATTTGTATTATTACTTCATAACTCTAACTTGCCACTGTTAAGAACTGTGATGTACATATCTGATGTGTGATCCCGATGGAAGGGTCTGCACCCACAGGTTGAGAATCACTGCCTTAAGCCTGTTACGTTCACCTCTACACAATGTCAGTTAAGATTAATGCATGTCAGCTCCAAAGTTTTCATGTACATACTCTAATGATTGGCTTCATCTTACAGTTTTCAAATGTAACAAGTCCACAGGGAATCTGCAGTACACACATTGTTTAAATAACTGACGATTTAGAAAATTTAACAACACAAAAGTAAAAATGTAGCTACGACAAATATGGAACTCTAACAGATGAAAATAGTACCTAGTCACTTGCTAGATACAACGGCTAGCTTTCCTGTCTAGATGTCATTACAATCAGAATTAAGTATTCACATGTATAGAACAACTATGGGCTACTCTGTGATCCAGGCTAATTGTGGTGGGGTTTTGAGATGTTGCCCTGGCTGGCTTTGAACTCATGAGCTCCAGATCCCCCTTAGCCTTTGAAGTAGCTAGAACTACAGGGTGATCACTGCATCCAGATCAAAACAAAAAACTCTAGGTTTCCTTTCGTGTTGCCGAGATAATGATGGATGGATGGAGAACCCCTGACTCTTCACGTATACTTTTCAAAGGCTGAAATCACCAAGGGAAGCTTAAAACCCTTGGACTAATGCTTAGATGTTGAATCAGTGATAAGGCGCTGACCTGCACCACAAAGAAATGAGCTTCATTGAGCTTCAAGTTACGCACACACACCAATGCATTCAAGAAGGCTCTTCTCACAGGAAAGTAAAAGCAATTTTTGATTGGTTGACACAAAGCAAGGGCTGCTTCAGGACACTGGACAGTGGTACCCGCTGCTCTGTGGCTCATCTGTCTGGGCAAGAACTTTTGTGTTAGGTTTTCTTCATCCTCTGCTCCAGTTCATGCTGGTGTTTAATAAGGCGTTCTATTTCTGTTCCAAGTGTCTGCAGGTTTTCCTTTAATAAGTGGGGAGAGAAAACACAAGTATTGAGTATTAGACAGGTGCCCTGTGAGCTGCTCTTGCCTGCACCGGGAAACTGAGCCATTAATTCTTGGTACTAAGATAAATTAGACACACATGTTTCAGTGAAATGGGCCTGTCTTTTTTTTTTTTTTTTTGAGACAGGGTTTCTCTCTATGTAAGAAGACCAGGCTGGTCTCAAACTCACAGAACGCCTCCTGCCTCTGCCTCCCAAGTGCTGGGATTAAAGGCTGCGCCACCATGTCCCGTCCTGCCCAAAGTTGTATCTTTTCACTGCAGCTACAGCTACAGCAAGTTTTAATGCATAACGATTACTTAGATTTAAAACGATTTTTAAAATCTATTAGTAACTATCAAGGTCCATGCATAGCAAAGACAGAAAAGTTGGGTCAGACAACAGCTAGAAAAAATAAAGCCACAAAGTACTTAAAATGCTGTGATATTAAAAATTTCTTATAGTCACACGGCAAAAGCCATCCATGGTGGAGTGAGAAATCCACCATGCACTGGAGGCTGACGATCTCTGGGAACAGCCCGGTGCTAGCTGAGACCGTGAAGAGGCAGCACTCTGCCACACTTACTGAGTGGTAACGAGTAAGAAACACAAATACCTTCAAAGTAATATTTTTTAGCAATGTATCTTCCAAAACAGCCTGCAATTTCCGGTTGATTTCCAAAGAGAGCTCCAGTGTTAAGCCGCTGTCGGCAGGGTGGGACGTGTACAGTGACGCCATGATGCCACCGCGTCTGCTCACATGCACTTTGTTAAAGTCAGAGGCCTCTGAAGACAGTGTGCCTGACTCTTCTCGTAAAATGTAACTCTGAATTACTCTGCAAGACAAAAGCGATGCTCTGTGTGCTTGCAGAATAAAACCACCGGCATTGGTAAGACTCAATCAATTACAAGCATAAAGATGATTAGCATAAAATAGACATCTGTCAGGCTGATACCCTAACTTGGCATAGAATGTCCCTTACTTGATGGTCTCTTAAACTGTACCTTCTTTTACTGTATCATAATATTTAAAGAAATATAAACACAGCTTTTCTGTTTCCTTACTTGCATATAAATATTTTAGTTATTACTTTATTGGTTTGATTTTTGTTATGATTTCTATTAAACTCTACTTTGCCCTCTCTTAAAATCTATAAGTGAAATTTTCTACAGGTCTAATATTATTTCAGAATAACTTTAAAGGGTTTAGGAGAAGAGTTGCATATAAAGACAACTCCTACTAAGTGTGGTGCTTGTGAAGACTGTGATGCCACACAGACTGTGGCTCAGTCAAGCTGGGTTTGGAGTGCAGCTGCGGTCTGTCCCTCACAGGTAAGGGCTGAAGTGCACCTAAGAAACTGACTGACTAAAGTGCAGTGTTTTATGCCAACAGGAGCTTATGTTACCCTATTAGGTTCTCGCCAGAGGAAAAACTCTCAAAACTCCTTATCTGTTAGAGTCACTCACTTTTAAAAGCTAAATACTTTTTTTTTTTTAAAGTCCCAAGTTTAGTTAAAAAGCAAGACCACTGCCTCTCCTGATGTTCCACAGTTAAGAGTTTTTCATCTTTGTATTCCCTAAGCCTAGAATACAACAGGTGATCAAAACAGATAGAGCCGTAGGAAATACTAAGGCAGGCACAGACCCACTTGCCTATATATAGTCCCAGCTACTCAAGGAGCTGATGCAGAAGGATTGCGTGAGCCAGGAATGCAATGCCAGCCCGGACAACATGGTGAACCCCATGGAAAAGATCACAGCGTTCCCCAGTCCCTGAGGCCATGCAAGTGGCAGCCCCGTAGCACAGGCCATGCGACCTCAGTAATACACACTTGGTTTTCTTTCGGATTTCCTCCACCAGCTGTTTGATGTGATCCTCCATGAACTCTATCTTCTCATTCTTCCGTGCATGCGCCTTCTGCAGCCTCACTATCCTCTCAATGAGCATGGCCTTGTCCACTTCAGGGAAGTTGTCCACAGCCACCGCGGAGCTGGTGTTCTCTGGAGATCGGTCTTCAGTGCTGCTGCGAGCATTAAGTGACCCTGAAGACAGAAAAGTGAGCTCAGGCAGTGTGTGACCTAGGCCCCCTGACTCCCTCGTTCCGGCAGCACTGTCCAATGCTGGGCAAAGAACACACGGCTACTTGTGGTAGCCGTTCTTTGCTGGAAACATATAACATATGACAGCAGTGAGCAGCCGTGTCTGTTACATCCCACAGGACCCAGACAAAGCCGGCAACAGAGAAAATCTTAAAAAATAAAACAGAATAGCAAACCTAGAGAATTCAAAAAGTAAATGATAGCACTGAGGAGAAAAACTGAAGTGTTGGGAGAGGCAAAGGGGAGCGAGCGTACACACCTGCGCTGCTCAGGTCCACCCACCAGGCGCAGTAGCAGCGTGCTTTGCCTATGTTACTTCTGCTAAAAATAGTAATTTACTCATAGGATTGTCACCCTCCATTAGAGCCATTGCAACAAGGCATGGAGTGTCTGGGCGCCCCACACTAGACTTTGTCAATGCCAGCATCCTAGCAGACCCTGGGAGGTCAATGAGCCTCTTCATCCAAGACCAGCGGCCTTCACAGCCATGTTACAGACCCGAGGAAACCATACCCTAGCTCCGTCACACAACCAAATAAGATGGGTCAGCTGGGACTTAAAACACAGTGGTGACTTTGAACCAGGTACTATTTGTTCACAGGTTCTGCTTAGGATTTGAGTCTGACACACAATTTTTAGAAGATTAGGATAGTGGAGTGACTCTCACAGAGAAAATGAGGGACCCAGGAGGGAGGGAGGGAGGGAGACAGAGAGAGAGAGAGAGAGGGGGGGGGGGAATACAGACACACAGCCGAGAGTCTCATCTACAGGCTCAACAAACCCCAGATTGGAAATACTTTTAGTAAGTGTCTACACTAACCATGCACAGATTGTTGTTAGACAGTAGATACTATCTACACACTCGAGGTAAGTGATCCGCAGGCTGTGGGAAGATCACATCTCTCAGATCCTGTCAGGTATCACAGGAGAAGTGTACGTATAAACCCAGTGCTATGGAAGGATAGCCAGTCTATCACTTCTTAGGTGTTACAGCGGAAGGAAGAGAGTGCACACACAAGATGTGACTAGATAGAACCCTAACTTCCAGGGGAGGGGAGGGGAGGGGAGGGGAGGGGAGGGGGAGGGGAGGGGAGGGGAGGGGAGGGGCTGTTGCACAGAGTACAAAGCTGGCAGGTAAGGAAAATGGGGCTCACACAGAGCCCAAGACAAGCTAGAACCTTAGCAAAGAGCAGAACGTAAGTATATAATAAGGCACATTTTCCACAACGTGATTGTAAGTAACTTCCATTGTCACCCTCAAAATCAAGCAAAGCATACGAAACTTCTTAAAATAAAAGGTGAGTTTTTGGACAGTTGCTGCCAGCTAGGCTCAGCCTCACCTGATGAACTGGAACGGCTCCCCATGCTGCTAACTTCTTTGTCATAGTTCCCATTCTCAGCCTGGTCTAATTTTCTCCGCGCTAGGAGAAAAAGAAACGGGTTACTTGTGACCACTTTTATGGCCATTTGCTCATGCCATCTGACATTAACTGCTGAAGTCGCTTGGGCAAAGCTGGCACGGGCCACAGACATCGGTCCTTGGTCTGTCTGTATCTCAGAACACTAGAGACGCCACCCACTGACAACTGAGAGGAACAGCAATGTTTGCTTAGGCCGACTTTAACTTCAGATCCTTCTCAGCATTAGAAATCTCTCCCCATCTACCTTCACATCTATGTGTGAAAACCAGGGAAAGAGACGGACCAGAGGTTAGAGCACTGACTGCCATTTCCAGAAGACCCAGGTTCAATTCCCAGCACCCACACGGTGGCTCACAACCATAACTCTAGTTCCAGAGGATCTGGGGTCTCTTCTGGTGTCTATGAGCAGCAGACAAGCAAGAGTACACAGTGCACAGGCCAAATACCCACACACACAAAAATAGATAGATCTTAAAAACAAAAACAAACTGAATCCAGCTGGCCTTGAACTCATTATGTAGCTGAGAAGGAACTTGATCCTTCTGGATTACAACAGGCATTAGCATATTAGCATACATGGATTTGGAGGAAAAGCACATTTACAGAACTTCTGTAAGTAGCAGAAGGCAAAATAAAAAGGTTTAGATTCTCCCAACCAGGCAAAGGGGCTTCTCTGATCTCCACATTCCAGGCTTTGTAGATAAACAGCCTTTAGCAGGAAAGCAGACTACTCACAGAACTGCACGTTTGGTCATGGCAGTGCTTGTTATTTAGTATACAGGCGGGGCTCGGTGGCACATCCTTTATTCCTAACCCTGAGGAGGCCGAGGCAGAGGACCTGGTACGTGAGGCATGTGAGATGAGGAAGACTTTGCCACAAGGGTGATGACAAAGCCTGAGCCTAAGAGAAAAACCAGCCAACCACAAGGCTGAGCGCACGTCCTGGGGTCAGCGGCAGGCAGGAGTACCTTGCTGAAGCTGCTTGCTGAGGTCCTTGACGTTGGCGGCCAGCTTGCGCCTCTGCGTCACTAACTCGTCTTTCAGCTCCTCCACCTGGGTGCCCAGGGTTTTGACCTCTGCCTGGGTGGCGGAGAGCTCGGCCTGCAGGCTCTGGACTTCCTCTTTCCGCAGCTCTTCCTCTCTGAGTAATCTGCTCTCCTGTAACAGTAAGGAGGAGGTGGTTACAAAGCACCCATTTTTCTCTTCAATTGCTCAGTTTAAAAACTTACGGGAGAACAGTTGTCCCCCTGGGACAGCTCCTCCCCAGCAGCTCGGGGGACATCAACAGGGTGGAGGGGACACGGTGTGGGACACAGTTGAAGTAAGTGTCTATTTCCAGAAAGACTTTTTCTTTTTTAAGACAAGGTCTTGTAATCCTGGCTGTCCTTGAACTCACAGAGATCCTCCTGCCTCTGAGTTCAGAGTGCTGGGTAAACGCTCGCGCCACCACCGCCCCACTTGTTCAAATTATTTTTATGAGCAGCAAGATGGCACTTTTATTTATTACTCAGGAATATAGCATTTTAAACTACCGAATTAAATAAATATCTTACAAGTGGAGACTCCAATTAGGAATGACAGAAACCACAGTTTCCTTATCTTTAAATATGTAATAATATTCTTTAGCACTTTAGAAAAATTTATTACATGAATTATATTCATTAAACAGAAAAGGAAATATATTTTTACAAAATTTAAAATTACCAGATCTACTAAAAGAACACAAAGCTAATTGCATTATACTTTGATATTACTAGAGAAATTCTATCTGCTTCTTGCTGTGTTGTTTTAAGAACTGAACTGGGGGCTGCAGAGAGATGACTCAGTCAGTAGTCAAGAGCACTACTGCTCTTCCAGTGGACAAGGGAACAGCGCCCTCTGCTGGCCTGTGCAGACACTACACAGTGCATGGATAGGGAACAGCACCCTCTGCTGGCCCGTGCAGGCACTACATGGTGCATGGACAGGGAACAGCATCTTCTGCTGGCCCATGCAGGCACTACATGGTACACAGACTACAGGCAGGCATAGGACCAGGAAGAGAAAGAGCAGCATGTGCATTTATCCTCACCAGGTTAGCATTGGTCTGTGTCATCTGCTGGCACTGGCTCTGCAGCTGGCTCTCACTGCAGGAGAGGCTATCCACTTGTGACTGCAGAGAGCTGGACTCAGACTGCAGCTGGGCATTCTTACTAGTGAGCTTTTCCGTGAACAGCAGGAGTTCAGACTCCCTTCTCCTGCTGCCCTCGATGTCTTTCTGTAGGTCATTAATCAAAGAATTAAGGCTTTCCATTTCTTCCTTCAAATGTTCAATTTCTTGTTTACCACTAAAAAACAAAGTTTATATTTAAGAAAAATTAAGTAAGCTACTAAAAAACATTAAATTAACGGCGTGGGAATTTTTCTTACTAGCATGCTTTAGAGGTACTTGTAATCATGCCTTCACTCAGACATTCACGACAGTCTGTCATGTTAGGGGCAGTGAGCAAGGCTAGCAGGGCCCTGCTTTCAAAGAGCATTTCTAGTGAGCATGTGAATGCCAGGCATGTGATGACACACCAGGCAGACAGGCCGCCTGAGCTCATTCGGTGCGACCACCACTCTGTGGAAGTCAGCTCTCTGGGCCATGCTTCCCTTGTTGTTTTGTTATTGGCTCAGTTATATTTTGTCAGCATACTGTGAAAACAGCCACAGACAAAACTCAATGGATCACTTTAGCTATGCTCTCTAAGGCTTTCTGTTTATAGGGGAGGGGGCAGTGGCTATGAGCACTGGCTGCTCTTGCAGAAGACCCAGGTTTGGTTTCCAGCACCCACAACCACTGGTGACTCCAGTTCCAGAAACCTCACTCTCCCTTCTGGCCTCCAGAAGTTCACCGGGAGTGCATGTAATACACACACACACACACACACACACACACACACACACACACACACAGAGGCAGGTAAACCTTCATTCATACACACAAGTTTTTAAAGATCCTATAAACGAACAAAAGAAAAGTCGGTAGAGAGACAAGAGATAAGGCAGGAATCACAGGACCCACAGCAGAGGTGGAAGGAATAATCCACCTCCGCGTAGGAACACTTCTAGCACAATGACGGGAAAGAATGGTTGTGAGTGGCGGCAGCTCCAGGAGTCACCAACAGCTCCTCTGTTTCCTGTAAGTGCTCACAGGCTAGGAGAGACACTCTGGATAGAGGAGGCCTGAGAGGGGGCAGGGTCGCTCACAGGCACACTGTCCTCCAGTTGAGGAAGGCAACTGAGGGTAAGGAGAACGTCTTCATGGGTATGGCAGCACAGACTAACACACATTCAACCTAAACCCAGGCTCTGCTGGACCAAGGGTAAATGAGTGAAATGTCAAGGAATGATGCCGGCTTCAGACCTCAAGCCACACGTAAGCAAAGCTACGGATCTAGGTACAGAGGGGCAACTGTGAAGCCAAAGGCAGATAAACTTTTTTAAATTTACCCACCCGTGAATGACTCCTGTCAGTGGCTATGAAACGTAAACTTTGATTTGACTTCTGAGAGTCAAAGACAATACAGAAAGTCCAAAGACACAAACTGAAGAACTATAAAAATCATTCTTTTTTGATATGGTGGTTCTACTTAAAGATGCCACCTGGAGGCAGAATTAAAACTTTGTTGCCCATTTCATACCTTTGAAGCTGCTCCTGTACCTGATCTGCCATTTTCACTTTGTCCAGTAAATTCTGAATTTCGGCTTTCTGACGATTAATAATTTCCCTGTATTTTGATAATTCATCTTCAGTCCTTAAGCGCTCATCTTCTAGACATTTCGTCTATAAAATGAACACAGTCACGCTGAGCACAGATCTACCTCAGACAGGATGGACAGACACACAGCAGCCCGGGATAAATGCTACAGCACTGGGGAGAAGACAGCATGAAGTCTCTGTTTTCCTGATTCCAGCTCCTCATCTCAACAATGCGACCTTCCCTCCATCCCAGCTGCCAACAGCTGCCAGAAAGGGGAAAACCACACGGCACAAACCCTACTTCCAAATAAATGTCAGGACATGTGGAGACAGCACATGAAAACCCAAAGGGTGGTTACTCTGACAACAGACTAAAATGATACCCCTCTTACTATTAAATACTGCTCAGTACAGCCAGAGGTACTCCAGTCTTCCAGGGTGTTTTATGCTGACGCCACCGTGAGGTCCACCCACCCTGCCAACTGCTTTACTGCCCTTAGCTCCAGAGCTCACAGGTAAGGTGGGCTCACTGTGAGAGCGCTATGAACAGGGATGCATGGCAGGCACTTCTAGTGCCTGACAGAGTCAGCTGCATTGCTAAGGGAATGCTGCTTTCCCCGAGTTCATTTATTTCAGATGTGTGAGTATTCCTTCCCTAACCCTTTAAGGATGAGACTCAATTCTAAGTGAAGGGTATTTACCCCAGCTCTGAGTTAGGCCTGAGATGTGATTACCTTTGTTCTCAGTGTCCGGAGCTCATCCATACCCTCCTTAAACGTCCTCTTCAGATCTTCTAGTTCCTTTATTTTGGCATGATGCATCTGGAAAAGAGACGCAAGTTCTAATACAACACAAGAACACCAGCAGGGTTCTGCCTGCTTCTAAAAAGGCCGTAGGCGCAGGCAGTAATGAGCACTCCATTCCTTTCTGCATTATATAATCCAGCCTATCATATAGTCATTATACACCACAGGAAAACTAACTCACCTCTAGCTGGTCAGATCTTTCTTGCATTTGTTTTTCAAGTTCTCCTTTTGTGACTCTGAGTTTTGCATCAAGTTCATTCGACTTGATTTCTTCTGATTCCTAATGTAAAAACAACAAAAAGTACCCATACTTTGAAATGAACAAAGCTTTGCAATCAGATTTACTAATTGTGTGTAGATTATGCAGCTAAAACTGAAGAGCACATTGAATGGCTTTAAACGCCAATTGTTCAGAAACACTTTGGGGTCACAGAAGAGTGGCTTTTTGTTTTGTTTTTTAAGTTGTGCATGCCTTTGCTCTCTTTATTGTTTTGACATTTTTGAGGGCGTCTTCTTTTTTTTTTTGATGCAGAGATCTCTAATCAGATTAGTCCGAGCTGCACATGTGGTGGGTGCATTGTGCCTGTGCGCCGTGAAGACCAAAGGCGACAGCAGGTCTCCACTCAATTCCTCTCCACGCTACTTCTGAGACAGGACATCATGCAGCCTCAAACTCACTGAGCGGGCTACCTGGCGGGCCAGTGAGCTCCATGCATCTGCCTACCCCACCCCTCTTCACCAGACAAAGCCAAGGTTACAGATGGTAACAGCTGGAGCCACACCCAGCTTGTTAGGTCAGTGCTCAGGTCCTCACTCTTACAAGGCAAACATTTTCCTCAGCCTTGGACTGCAGGTATTTAACACAGGGACTGACTCGCGTCCCCAGCCTTGGACTGCAGGTATTTAACACAGGGACTGACTCGCGTCCCCAGCCTTGGACTGCAGGTATTTAACACAGGGACTGACTCGCGTTTTACCTTCACTGCCCTAAGAAATTTGGTGGATATAGAAAGTCCCTGAAAACAGAGTTCCGATAATTCGTCTGTTTCAAAAAGGAAACATACCTGGTACGTTTTTATCATATCCTGACAGTTTTGCCGGATCTGATCAGCTTCTTCTTTTGCCTGTGTTAACTTTGTAGTCGTTTCTTTGAGTTTATCTTTGGTTTCCTGCAGTGGCAAAGTGACAGAGACAAGACCAATCACAGTGACATGAAGAACGGTAAGGACAAAGATGAGCATGCTCCCCACAGACTCAGGGAGTAGCGCTACTGGAGGTGTGCACATGCTGGAGGAAGTGTGTCACATGGGTGGGCATGCAGGTTCCAGAAGTCTCTCTCCCTGCTGCCCGAGGACCCAGATGCAGAGCGCTCAGCCCTTTCCAGCACTGCGCCTGCCTGCCATGATGTGATGATCAGGGACTGAAGCCGACCCTGAGCCAGCCCCAGGGAAGTGCTTTCTTTAAAGAGCTGTGTGATCATGGCTCTGTGAGACGAGCATGCGCTGCACCACTAGACTGGAGACTAAGCAGAGGCCTAGCAGTAGTGTTTGTGTCTGACAAAGTAAAGCTAACCGATGGACATTAAATAGTTAAAACGTACAGTTTTGGCCAGATTCCTCAGAAAGGAGGAGTGTCCCAGAGGCCCTCTGGCTGCAGCGGTGATGTGTGATGTCCATTCTCTACTAAAATAGCAATTCTTCACGCGGGATTCTGAAGGGCTTCTCTCTAATCCAGTAGCCTTTTCTCTTTCCTGCTCTCTAGTCCCGTTCTACCTGACCGCCCTGACTCCTCCAACACCCTTGCCGCGGTTCCCACTAAACACAAGACTCCCTTCACCTTCACCATTCCTTGCCGGCCTTTGCTCACCGAGGCCCGACTGCACATGCAATGTGACCAGGCCCCTCAAACTGCCAGTCATGTCTTTCCTGCTGTAATGCAAACCTGTGACCAGAGACACCTAGCTGCGACCCATCAGCTGTGCTGGTACAGCGACGAGAAAAGAAAGCCAACTGTGTCCGTGGAGAAACGCCAGGCAGCAGCCTCTGCTCCAGGCAGGTTGGCGTCTCTCCTCTCTACTGCTCCCCTTGCTCTTATGGTTGCAACAGCTCTGCCTTTCTCTCGTAAATGTCGGGACTGCTCACAGGCTCCACACACAATTCTGTGTCATCCTAACGCAAATATCGTAACTAAGCACTTACTTATCTTTCTTGAGTCATTGCTTTTTGACAGTAAATGGCCATATGTTAAAACCCAGTATCACTTAAAAGAGAAATAACGTAATAATCTGGAAATTAAAGAATCTTAGAGTAGGTGTCTTCACTATCAGAACTAAGACACAGCTGACACACTGTCCTGGCCCATGTCAATACCCCCATCTCACGAGCATGCCCTCACCTTCCATGAGATTTTGGCGATCTTGCACAGCAAGTACCCTGACCCACTGAGCCATCTCCCCAGTCTCACAGACACTGTTCTACTCCCAAGGGAAATGGCAGGGTGAGCAAACAATTGTCTCTACCCTCATGAGTTGACAGTCTACTGATGCAGTTAAAATAAAAAGCACAAGTGAAGTGTAAGGGTATGTTGGTTACATTAGGGTCGGGTGCTAAGTGATAAAAAGACAACGAACGAACGAAGGTTAGGAGGGGCTCAGAGCTTACACAGGCTGTGAAGTGTTGGGTAAACACGGAATGAAAGAGGTGCCAGCCAAGCCTTCTGAGCAGCTGAAAGAATGGGTGTCACTTATGCAGATAGGAAGGTGGCAGACACAGGGAAGGAGCACTTCACTGACTTTTACAATAACGTGTAAATTACTGAAGGCGTCAGGTGTCACTCATGAAGTTTGCTACTGCTGGGGTTTATTGTTCTGAGAAGTTTCTTGCAGCCTAGGCTGGCCTCAAGCTTGCTAGGTAGCTCAGGATAACTGGAACACTAGGTGCTGGGATCACAGGCATGCACCACCGGACTCTGGTCTATGGGGACTGACTCCAGGGTTTCATGCGTACACTCTATCACCTGAGACACAGCCAAGACCACCGCTGTTTGTTCCAATGCTCCCGACTTCTGCAGCGTCTCATCTTCTGCTAATTCTACACAATGGTTTCCTTCATGAACACTGCATCAACATTAATTTTAAAAACGATCCATGTCTTCTCTTACCTGACTCAAGCCTTTATGTCCTTGGAGATATAGAGGATACTTATAATTTCTACTTTAACATCCTTGCCTACCATTCTATACTGTTTGGATCTGTCATTTGGATCTGATCCTGGTTGACTGATTCCTTTGTTCCATGGACTGAATTCTTCTGCTTCTTTGCATGCTGACAATTTTTCATTAGGTGCCAAACAGTGAATTGGGTGTTTTTAGGCATTTTTAAAAAATACAATCATTTGAAAACATTTATATAACTCATATTAGTGCGTAGCTAAATTACTTGAAGTAACCCTGATGTAAAGCTGTCTAGGTGGCCCTCACAGCTAAGGCAGTACTCTGCTGAGGGTCACTTGATGTCCTGTGTGCTAAGAGGCCCTGCGCCTTTGCATTTCTGAACCCATCCTCTGGTTCTGCATACTTCCCACTTTGTGTCCTCAATGCAGAAAGGTGCTGGGCTAGGTTTCGATTTCTCTCCTTGCTGCAGCCAGAAACCCAGCACCTGTCTGGCTTCAGTTAGGAACCGCTCACTTTACCCATGCTGTCTTTTGTCTCAAGTCTGAAAACCTTCACTTCACACATTTTTATTGTTTTTTTTTTCCTCCTTTGTGTATACACACAGTTTTGTTTTCTTTTACCTTTCAGTTTCTGTATTTTGGGTGGATTTTCAGTTTAAGGTGGAAGGCTATGTCTGCATCTTGTTATCCCACGGTGCAGCAAACAGACGACGACAGCTTAGGAAGTGGGTGAAAGGGCGACTGGACATCAGAAAGTTCTAAATTATAGCTAATACTAGAGCGCCTGACACAGCATGAGGGTGAGGTAGCACTGTGACAGACAGCAGCGACTGCGCAAGCACAGCCCTGGCTTTAGGCCACTGACAGACAGAACACACAGGCTAAGTGCTCGCGTACCCTGCCTGACTCTGTAGATGCTGCTTTGACTTCAGCATTCCAGAATGCTAGCTCTGGGGACAGAACTTCCTGGAAAGCATCCAGCACAGCCAACCATGCTGCCAAAGGACCTGATCCTATCTGCTGCCAGCCATACCCATGCTCCAGTGAGATCTTAGTCTGAGGTCAGGCAAGTGAGACCATGGCAACCAGACAGATAAGCAAGTGTATGATGAACGACGTGGGAACCCTTTCTTCACTATTCAGTGCATTCAACATTTAAATCAGCCACAACAACCTTTGGTTTCTAAAGGCTAGATTTTGCAGAAATTATTAGTCAACCCAAAGGAGCTTGGGGGAGGTAACGATGAATTTCTGCAGTCTGATCTTGGCCTTCTGCAGTCCGATACACACCGTTTACAGGTAGTGTGCTCTGGAGGGCTGACCAGGGGACTGCTCACAGCAGCCCCAGGACCCACAGTACCAGGGTTAGCGCCTACCACTCAAGAAGGGCCCAACAACGTTTACAAAGCCGCTGTCTCTTGCTCATCTGAGTGGTTTCCCACTCCACGAGATCACCACCAAATCTTGCCTCCATTTCCTTCTTGCAGCTGGTGGGCAGATGCACAGAACAGGTTAGGCCAGAGCCCGGTGCACACCAAAGCAGACTGCCTTCTGACTCTCACATCTCCACATGACCTGACAGCGCTGTGCACAGGAGGCAAATGCTTGACGGCAAAACCAAAGCCCTTGCTTACAAAGACCCAACAAATACCCAGTTTCTACACGGCAGGTCAGCATGCTTCCTGTGCATGTCCTAACCTACGTTTACCTCCTCCCAGGAGTCAGCCTTCTGACCCTTCTCCAAACTATCTGCTTTCACCTCTCAACACTGCCATGAGAAATCTCTCACCATCCTATCTGTTAACAATCAGGACTCTCACACACACATAATGCCAATATTCCAACAGACCTTAAGATTCTTTCTCTTAGGAACACAAATAAGAGGAAAAGAAAGTGCCACAGACATAGAAATGACTCAGAACTGTGTTCAGAACTTAAGCCACTCAGGCAGTTAGATATTATTTTTAATGAATTTCAGATTTTCATTTCTCTCCACCTAATGCAGAGTCAGGGAAAATCTTGAGTAGCTGAGTGAGTCAGGTTGCCCACTCCTTTCTGGGAGTTCTTTGTAGCTCCCTTCACACCCGTCCATTGTGAGCAACAGAACAGAGCTCACTGTTCATCTACCTTTGGCCAGACTAATACAGTATCTACAGTTTTCTGATATTAACACACAAATATCCAAAGGTGATTCACAACTGTATTGACCTGGCCGGAGGTAGTATTGCAAACCTTTAATCCCAGCACTCAGGAGGCAGAAGCAAGTAGATCTCTGAGTTTGAAGCCAATCTGGTCTAGTGAGTGAGTTCCAGGACACAGAGAAACATTATCTCAGAAAACCAAACCCAAAATCATCATAATAATAACAATGCAACCTGGAATTATGTTTTAGACAGCATCATTAAGCCTATTTTTAAAAACTTGGAAAATGACACATTATTTCCATAACACCATCCCTCTGTTTAAGCCACATTTCAGAATTGAATTTTATTGTCCATTTTATCATCTGCAAATTTTTATTTATCCAAAGGCCTACTCTATTCGTGTTTAAATTATGCCATCAGTAACTGGACTTTATAACTACATTTCATTCTATTAATTTTTAAATACAATGGTATTTTCAGCAAGCAGTTCAGTGAGAGGGTAATTAGCCTAGTACCACATGTGCGTTCATACACATACATGTTTTTTGCTAGCATAGTAGTAATAGAATATTTATGGAAACATAAGCTATTTGTGTTAATTAAATCTAAATATGAACATGTATTTCAATTATGAGCATCTTAAGATACTTTAAATTATTTCATTTTAATTCCAATAACATATATTGAAGTTTCCATCCTCTCAAATTTTGAGTGTCAAAAAATGATTAAGTAACATGGCAAATTTAGGTGTTGTAAACTCTGAACTATAAAATTTAACATTCTTAGCTGCATCAGAAAACCCCTTCCTCACAATGATGCAGTCCTCAGATCCGAGCTGCCCTGCAGGGGTCACTAAGGAACATGAACTTGCCCTTCATGCTCACGGCTCACTGTATGCTACTCACCTTGTGGGAGTCCACTTCAGCTTTTAACTTGTTCTGTGCCCACTTTACTTTAATGATGTAAGAGCTGATCTCCTCCTTTAATCTGTCTGTTTCTTTGATGAGTCTAGACGCTTCACCTTCCTAAAAGGACATCAGGTCACGTGTCACTTAAACAACCAACTGTGCATCGTTTACTGTGCAGCAACACAATAACTCAAGGGTGCTACATACACTCTGGCCCACAGGCCATAAAGCTGGTTTAAGGTTCAAATGATAAGAGTAATAAAACTCTAAATCAAATTAATAAACACGAGGATAATTATTACCTAGTGTAGCCAATGGGGACATTGGAAGACAAACATACTCTGATTCTTCCTAACTGCCTGGCAGTAAAATAAAACATGCCTGAGCTGGTTCTGCTAGAATCTCTGAGGGGAAACAATATCTCCAATAAAAGACAAAAGCAAGAGCTTGCTCTGAACAGCCACGGCTTCAGCTACTCAACCTTCTAGGACAGCTCTAGAATAAATACATTTTTCAGTAAGAAAAAATATAAATTATATTCTCCGATAAACTGAGCATTGCAGTAAGATTCTGGCCAGGCCTGGAGATGAGTTCAGCAGTGGTGACCTTGCCCAGCCTGTGTGAATCCAATCCCAAGGGCTGCAGGGAAAAAAATGTATTAAATAAAAAACAAGCGTAGACTCTGGTCAAATTATATTTTTTGACTATAAAGCTATAAACAATTGACACGAATATGTACATATTTTAGCAAAATATAATTTTTTTGAAGATACAAACTAATTTTTTTCAATAGATTCTAGAAGAAAGTTTTAAAAATGATTAAGAAAATCCCTTCTACCAACAGGGAAATGAGGCACCTAAATCACTTATCTAAGCACACTAATAAAAAGCACTTTATGTCTGAATGCTTTGGTCCTACACCACCGTGTGACCAGGGAAAGAGGTGTGGCCTTCAGATTAGGCACAAGTTATACCTTTGATTCATAAAGTTGCTGCAGCCGCCCTTTCTCCTGAGAAAGCTGCTTAATTTTGTTAGTGTTTTTCTCCAATTCCTTATTTGCGTCTCTAAGTTTTCTCTCAAGGGTCTCTCTGTCTTTCCGAAGGTCTAGAGACTCCTTCTCACCTCTCACATACTTCATCACCATCGCCTCCTTCTCCTGACGGGCCTCTTCACACTTCTTGTTGGCCTGCGACAGAAAGCATTACCTAGCATGAGTGAACACACTTTGGCGTCTCCCGCAGTGTTGGCATCGGCTTCCATACTGAGCCCCCAGCCTTCGCTTACTCCTCTTACTTTGGCTGCGGTATGTTTCTATGTCTATATATTTCCTTTCTTCTCCACACACGCGCTTCCTTGCCGGTGTCCCAGCCACTCTGGGCCCCAGGACGAGGCCCATCCACCGTGGTCCACATTAACAAGTCCCTGTACCCTTAGACTTGCAGTGGGGTTTGGCTGGCAGGCAGGGTCGGTAGGCAGATGCTTGGGAAGAAACATTGAAGTGTGGCTTCCAGTCACCATAAGTCACCTAACACAACTACTCTCTCCGAGCTGTCCAGCTCTTAAACCTCTAGAAGTATAACACAATATGCTTCTGTTTTTGTAATAGAGTACCCAGACTCAAGTATTTTGTTGAGCAACACAAAAGGGGCTAGTGAAAACATGTACACACAGGCACGCGTCACTAGGACACCACTACACGTGTAAGAGAGTAACAACTGGCTGACACAGAAGCATAGAAGGAACTGGACACAGCGGACGGGGACTCATCTAGTCCCGTACAGCCCTCAGTTCCTTAATTCTTACATCAGCACGACTGCCTTATCACTGTCATGAGTTTTACTTGTTTTACATGTATGTGCGCCTGTCTGAGCACACACACGTCAATGTACTGGAGGCCACAGGAGGGCATCAGAGCCCGGGTACTGCGGTGACAGGCGGTCGGGAGCCACCTGACTGGACGTTAGACTGCAAACTGCCAGCACGCAGTCTTCCCAGCTGAGTCACTCTGCAGGCCTCTGCTTCCTTTAAAAGCGCTTTAGATGAACGCTAGCAGAGTCACAATAGCCAAACGCTAGAGTCCAATAACCCAAACCAATAGTGACATGGAATACCTGGTCCATCCTCTGGGTCATCTCTTTGTGGATTTGCTGAATTGCATTTTTAGCTGTGACATCCTGGGCTACTAGCTGATCTCGGGAAGCTTTAACTTCTTTATTCAGTTCCTCTATTCTTAATTCTAGCTGTAAAAAGAATGATTTCTGGATTATAATTTACAGCTGCACCAAACAGACTATTGGCCAATGAAGAGTGCCACCTGTGGGCCCTGACTGTTTCTCAGGCCCTCACAGGCTGAGTCTCTGAGTGGGGCTCACATGTGGGAGATCTGGAGCGATCACAATGAACACAGCAGTTTTCAGTCTCCCTTTAGTTACGTAAAAGTGCAACACATTCAAAACACAAATAAAAGAAAACTTGCTTCATTTTTATCAGTTGACAGCTTTCTAGGAAATGTGCGTGGCCGTGCGTGTGCGAATGTGGACTGTAGGCACACTCCAAGACCGAGTCCCTACTGTCCCACAGCACTTTCAGTAGAAGGGCACCTTACGATGCCCTCACAAGGAGGACACATTTCTCAGAGTACACCAGTGCTAATTCCGACACCCACACCCTGCCCACAGAAGGAAAACAGCAAAGAACCAAGAGCAGCTTTTGCTCTGTTCCCAGGCTGAGCCCTCACTTGTGTGTCCATTTGGCAAACACTCCCACCCACTAAAGAGATAAGAAAGTTCCAGCTACAGATACCAGTTTGACCTTTACAGCACAGCTAACTCACAAAATGAAACCATATTAGAACCACAGTGAGAAAGAGATTCCAAAGCCAGACAGAAATGTCCTGGTATCACTACTATTAACTACATCTTCCCTAAATTGGTAAGACGCTAAATCAAGTCAAGCTTTTTTCATGGTTTGGACAGAAAATGTGTCATATTAGAACAGTTACACAAATCATTGTTTACATACAATAATTCAGGCTCATTCTCATGCTTTAAACAGGAAGCAGTTTCCTGCATTTGAAATGCTTGAACTTAATATATTTTTTCAGGAGTTTACTTTATAAATTAAGCGTGGTCTTGGAAGACTCATTTTCTTACCTGTTTAATTGTGTTCATATGCTGCTTCTCTGTTTCTGTTCTCTTTTTCAGTTCTTCTCTTAAATTATCCTTTTCTGAGCAAATATTTAAGATGAGCTCTTGATGATTCTTATTTTCTTTAATTAACCTAAATACAACAGGGTAATATAAATAGAGCAGGAAAGGAAAATGAGATATGAAATATCTATCTACAGATTAATACAGACACCTGTGATTATGTAAGTTAATACTCTCAAGTATCTTTTTATAATAGGGTACCATATTCATAGAACAAAACCCCACACCTAGCTTATGCCTTCTCAGAGCATGTCTTTACCATCGAGTGATTTTATGTGTAAGGATAAACTATTTCTAGTCCTGTCCATAGACAAAAAGGTAGGAAGAGGAGAAACACAGGAGCAGCTAGTTTGTTAGCAAGTCTAAATAAAAACTCATTTTGTTGATTCCTACATCTGTTATTTAAAAAACAAACAAACAAACAAACCCAACCAACTCTGGCCAATCAGTCCTATTAGGCAAGCACCTTACCAGTGGTCACACCTACAGTATAAATTTGTTATTGTTATCCTTAGATGTCATGTACACACTCCACACAGACAATTGTCTCAAGTAATTCAAGTTGGGTCACTGAACAGAACTACTGATCGATGTGTGGGATAACAGAATACAAACAGACTGAGGTGGTATTCTCCAGGGGCCAGAAAGCAGAGGACACAGGAGATGAGAGCCAAAGGGTACAAACCCCAGGTCAAGACCAGGTCTGGGAACTTAATGTACAGCACAGTGGTAACAGGGCTGGGCAAAGCACAGCACACACTATCGTTTAAGGTCGTTTAAGGTGTGGGGAGAAGAGGGTGAAAAACAGAAAGCAAAGAGGAGGAGAGGACCAGAAAGAAGGGAAGGGAAGTGGGGGCCAGGACAGAGAGCAAGAGACAGACCCAGAAAAGAGAGGAGACAGTATTTTCAACAGGAAATTCGCACAGAGTAAATCTTAGGGTTCTCACCACATACATAACTACATGAGAGGGTAGCTGTGTTAACTAGCTTGACTGCAGAATCACTTCATAATGACTTTTAAATCATCACACTGTACATCTTTAATACATCAATTTTGCCAGGAAAAGAAACAAAACCCTCAGCAAATCAGACATTTGGGAAAGGATGCATTTATGAAATTGTCAATCAAAGACAGAATATTAGATGGAGGTGAAAATTAAGAAAAACATCTAGTTGCTTCCCTGAACCAACAAGCACTTTATTTGGAATTAAAAATATGTATGCAAAACAAAAAAATAATCAATGAAGCTTACAGTAACATTTGGCACTTATATGATGCTGTAATATGCACAGGAGTAACATCAGGTGAGTGCTCTGTCTCTCATGGGAGTGAACAATCTGACTCAGCCAATGGACTCTTCCCATTCCACGTTTCTGATTAATGCCCTAACCCCACTCAGCCACACCGCGCCTGCTCCAACAGGGTGGGACAAAGAGAAGGTTTTTGTTTGTTTAGTTTTCTACTGTGCGCCTAATACTTTAACCTGATGATTTCCAGTAATACTAGGTAAAGTTCCTAAGGTTAAACTCAGAGAGCTGGGCTCTTAAGCTTGTATATATTTCATCTTATCCTGAAGCAGTTTAAGTTTGTGCCTCAGGATCTCACATACATAGTGTATATCTGTGAAGATTCCGTGAGTTAAGGTGTGTGAAGTCACATAATTAATAGCATATGAGATCGGTAGATACACACACCTTTAAAATTCTAAGTGCTGTATAAACTGCTAAGATTCATCATCTAAGAAAACTAGGAAAGGGTATCAGGAATAATCTCTGGGGAGTAGGCAGACTGCAGGGGAACGGAGAAGTTGGCCTAAGCCTGCGAGGAGCAAGCAGAAGCAGACATGTGCATGGGTGACAGCGTGTCACAAGCAGTCGGGGAGGGTCTAAGTGAGTAGAGGCGTGCCTGAGGAGGGCAGTGGAGCTCCAAAGGGGCCTGATCCCAGAACCCTGTAAAGGGAGGCTGTGAGAAGCAGCTCAATAAAGCTGTCCCTGACTTTTACTTGTGCATACCCCTTACATCAGAGCACACCCATTTTTTTTTAAAAAATTAAAATTTAAATAAAAATGTATTTAAAGGTGATGGTGCACACACCTTTAACTTCAGCACTCAGGAGGCACAGGCTAGTCTGGTCTATAGAGTGAGTTCCAGGACAGCCAGGATTGATACACAGAGAAACCCTATCTTGAAAAACCAAAACCAAAACCAAACCAAACCCAAATCCAAACCAAAAGAACAGGCTGAAGAAAATCAAACTATCACCAAACCCTGTACAAATAGAAAACTAAAAGCACATGCCCAGCCAGCTAGTCCCTCTGTTCTCCAAACCCTAAGCTTCCAACTTCATGACACATTCATGTCCTCTTGGACTTACTCTGCCCTAATTCGAGTTCCTTTACAATAGGTTCTCACTCCCTAATGAGCTCACACTATCTACGATACTTAGTCCTTCGGGCTCAGCTTTTAGGGAGTAGATGTTACCCACCTACTATGTGCATGCTGCATTCTGAAATGAAAGTACACACAAGGCTACTTCCCTTGAAGCAACTGTCTTTGCCCCTGCATCTTCCCAGGGCACTACTTACTTTTTAATAGTGAGCTCCTGCTGCAAGTACTTGCCATGCATACACTTCTCAAACAGGGCTAAGGCCTGCTCTCCTTTATTCACTCCGTTTGGTACCTGGTGTTCCTCTGTGAACTCTGCAGATAAGAGCTCAGTCTCGATTTCTCCCAACAAATCATCTGATGCTGAGACAGTCTTTATCTGAGAAATGAGTTTCCTGGTGCATTCTGTATCGTAGAGGCTTGCTGAAGGAGGCTTTGGATCACTGGCTTCTGTAAATGCAGACGACCCTGACCTTAACTCTGCCAGGATCTGTGTGACTGTCGCTTCTGGGTCACCTGTTTTTGCCACCTGTTTTGCAAAGTCCCCAGCAGGAAAGTCATCTACTTGTTCAGAGTTTTCTGAGCATGTGTCTACTTTAGCACAAGAATTCTCACCACCACCACAGTCTGGAGTATGGTTTTGTTGTTCAATTTGACTACTGTGTTCACTAGGTTGACATAAGACTCTGTCGGAGCTCAGTGGTAATAGTTCAGATTCGGATTCTAATTTGTTGCTTTCATCACCAGAAGGTGGGTTGCCCGAGCCTTCCTCTAGCTCAGGGGTTTCCCCAGTGTCTGCATCAGAAGAAATGGAGGCCATGTGCTCTGTCTCTGTCGTGCTGACTGGCAACAACTCACTTTGCATTTCTTCAACTCCACTCATGATCTTCATTTACAGCTGAGAAATCAAGTAATTAAAATTAAAAAAATTAAACTAATAGCGTTATACCTTTGCACACACTCTGTGACATGACCATAAAGTGTTGTAGATAAGAGCCTTCCCTAGCGGGAAAGAGGACAGCCAACCCCAAGTGGACACGACCAGGGGGTCCACTGCAGCCTCCCAGGATCTTCTCTCTTGGCTCAGGCAGCCTCACTAGTTAGTTCTGGTTCGCAGCTGCAGCTGTCGGGAAGGCCAGCGAGGAAGAATACGCCACCCAACCCTAACCCTTTAAGAAGGGGACAAAGGAAGCAGTGGACAAGCAATCTCAGAGCAGGACCACACAGTGCACACGGGTGAAGATGGCAAAGACTCACCGAGAAGGAAACCGCAGAGCAGCTCAGAGGCCTCCCTGGGGGCTGACCCCTGACAGGAAGCAGCTCTCCCCAAGGCAGGGATCTGAGAAGCCAGTGCCGCTGTTGATTTCACAGTACTCTCCTTAACACAAACCAGACAGAGCTGTCTACTGTCCAGGCCACACTTTATTTGACTAGGTGAGGACACGTTTATATTGTTTACAAACATTCCTTCTCTGTCTTCTTTATGGAAAGTTAGCCAACTTTGAAAATTACCAAAATACAGAATATAAAATCTTCTACCAGGGGCTGGAGAGACGGTACAGCAGTTAAGACTGCACACTGACTTTGCACAGGACTCCAATTCAATCCCCCAGCACCCATGCGGGACAGCTCACAACTGCCAGCACCTTACCTATACCTCCACGGGATCTAACCCTTACACTGACACACTCTGGCACTGTACTCGTATGCACAACCCCTAGCCCCAACAAACATACACACATAATTAAAAATAAAAACTTTTAATTAAAAAAAAAATCCTACTGGTCTTGATGAAAAGAACTGACAGTGTCTCTGGTCATGTTTCAACAGTGCGTCTACAACCAGATAAGTTACCAAAGACGAGATCAGATGAACAACTACAATAAAGTAATTCCAATACGAAGTATACATGTGGAAATGTAAAGGATTAAACTGTATAACATGCTTACATCATGCTTACATCAAATTGCGAGACGGGTGATGATCAAAGAGTACTGACAGAGGGAAGAGAAGGCTGGCCACCCAACCCTCACAACACTAAGCAGGAGTGGATTTTCATAAATTCTACAACCTGAATAACATCTGGTCTTACTGTATGATTCCTAGCACCCAGTGAGCTCTCAAATACTTGCTGGCTTAAAACCTGAAAAAAACAAAGCCACTGCTTAAAGAACGTTATCCTAGAGCATGGGAAGGAGTTGCTGTAAGAAAGGGCCATCTTGTCAGTCCAACTGTTGGGCTGTTCCTTTGGCCCAACTGTGGGAACAATTACAGCAGCCATTGACCTCAGGCTCCCAATCACTTAGCTATGTAACACCTGCCTCCAAATGACACAAATGAACACTATTATGCTGTACAGGCTTCATAAATAAGGGCAAGCCTGTACTGATTGAAGAACTTTAGACTGGACAAATAAAGGCAGTGAACATATGAGAATCTTGGTAACTTACTAAAAAAAAAAGAAGAATCTCACAGACAGGTATTTATACGACTAGCCCCAAAGCAACATATAAGGAAGTTCACTCAAAGTAACTTTCTTTAAAGATATAGTATGTGATAAAATATACAATAAACGTAAGACATAATTCGCTGCTGCTGAATTTTAAGTCTTACAAACATAAAACTGCAGTGGTTTTAAACTTCCTAACTAGTGAATCTCTATCCGCGAAGCTCAACTTACAGCGTGATGAGGACCTTGAGAGAGAAGGGATGATAAAGGCATTGTGACTCCCCAGCATTCCGCCAGTGAGAAGAAATTCAACAGCTTTAGCCTCTTTTGTGTGTCATCACCTGTCATCCTGCTTCCTCGGTCCCCAGGTTCTCTCTCATCCCCCCCCTCCCTTCCTAGCCCTTACCCAGTGCTGAGTTGAAGCAGTACATCACAGCTACGCCTAGATGAGGGTTTTCAGCCCTGTACCCCGCACCACAGGCAGGGAGTTACCCTCCTCTTCAGGCCACGCCTGTGCTGCTTTGAGGTTCACCTGAAAACAGGCTTTCTATTGGAGCTCTCCCCAGAGTCACACAAAATGGCCAAGCTGAAATTCTAACAGCAGTACACACAACTGAGGCCTCCCACTGATGGCGTGACGTGCTTCATCATCTGACATTTCCTTCCCTTTCTCCTGCGCGCTCATAATCTCTTACACAATTTCTTCTCCTGCTTTTCTGTCACTAACACCTACGGGCAACCCAGCCCAGGCCTGGCCCACACCTGGAACGCTTGGCTTCTCAATCCCATTCAATTCGCTCTCCCTGTAACTTCAGGGGCAGATTATTTGGGACAGTCAGGGGGCTGGGACAGGGTTGCTAGTGACATCATCAACCTCAGAAGTGATTTTTTGCAGTACACTGTCAAAAAGGACAAGAACTACGAGTGAAGTGAGTCTTCAGCGATAAAATGGCAATGTGGAAGCCAGGCATCTGGACGCAGTACACCCCAGCCTTAGCAGACCTCGACCTTCGAATGGAAAGACGGTTCCTTAAAGGACTGAGCTGTTTGCTTCAGTCACCCCGTAGCTGTAGGTGCCTTTGAGAACCGAGTACGAGCGATCCTGCTATGCTGCCTGAGGAGCATCAAAGGTATTGACATTCTTTAGTCCGTGTGGGTGGGAAGGAACTAAATTTTACGAGTGGTTACTTCACTACCACACTGTGTTCCAGTCAGCAAAAACTAAGACTCGGAAATGTCCATCACACTCCATAAAACCTCTGTTTCAAAACAAAACAAAACTTAAGCTTTTATTATTCTGAATTAGAACAGGCCTGAGAAAATAACAAATAAACAAGTGCACGCTTCCCGGGAGGACTTCCAAAGTATGGGTACGGTACAACAGCTCAAGATCGGTGCCCTACCCCAACTCTCTCCCCGCATCTAAAACGTGAGAAGACCAAACAGGAAGACAGGAAGTAGGCAACGCACGCTGCGGTCTTATCCGTGTGACCATTAATAACAAAGGCCCGAAAGGCGGCTGCACAGACGCGGGCACTCGGGCCTCAATGCCACCCGCCGTCCCTGGGTCCTTAAGCTCCACCAGGCCCTCTCTCAGACGCGGGCAAGCGATGGCGGCGCGGGCGGTTCCGCTCTGGGCGGGTGGCTGCAAGCGTGCCGGTGCAGGAGAAAACACAGGCTGGCCACGGGCGCGGGGCCCCTAAATCCCGCATTTCCACTGAGGCTTCTCGGACGCCAGCCGGGGCGCTGTGGCCCCCGCAGCTGAGAGCCATCGTCCCCAGGGGGCAGAGAGCCGAGGCGACTCCCCGCCCCCCGCCACCTTCCCGGGGACCGCGGGCCCCAGGCCGCGCGCAGGCGGGAGATTGCCGGGCACAGCCCCGAGCGCCCCAGGGCAGGGCCCGGGCCCATCGCCGCCTGCCCGCCCGCCCGCCCCGCTCTCCCCGCGCCCGCCCGCCCCGCTCTCCCCGCTCTCCCCGCCCGCCCCGCTCTCCCCGCTCTCCCCGCGCCCGCCCGCCCCGCTCTCCCCGCGCCCGCCCGCCCCGCTCTCCCCGCTCTCCCCGCGCCCGCCCGCCCCGCTCTCCCCGCGCCCGCCCGCCCCGCTCTCCCCGCTCTCCCCGCGCCCGCCCGCCCCGCTCTCCCCGCGCCCGCCCGCCCCGCTCTCCCCGCGCCCGCCCGCCCCGCTCTCCCCGCTCTCCCCGCGCCCGCCCGCTCTGCTCGCGCCCGCCCGCCCCGCTCTCCCCTCGTCCACTCACCGTCCTTCCCGGGCCCCTGCCGCGCCCTATCGAGGCCCCTGGAGCCCCGGCCTCGGGGCCAGCGAGTCCATGCCCGGGTCCCGCGGACACGGAGCGGGCGAGGACGTCTCGCGTGCGGACGGCGGCCGACGCCGGGCTCTCAACCCCAGGTTCCCCCGCAACCGCGACAGGAGCGGACACATCAACAAAGATGGCGGCGACGCCGGAGCCGGCGCGGCCACAGCTGCCGGGGCGGGGCCTCCTGCAGCAGCCAATCAGCGCGGCGCGGCCCGCGTGACGCCAGGCACCTGGGCGTGGCCGTGGGCGTGGCCTCGGGAGCGCCGCCCCCTGCCCCCGGGCTCCTGGAGACCTTGCCCGGCGTCCGTCTCGCGCCCACGCCTCGCTCGCTCGCGGGGAGCCTGCTCTGCTCGCGCCCTCCCTGCCCGCGCCGCTGCTTCCTGTCGGTGGGAAGCACGCGCTCGCCACCCCCCCCTCACCCTTTGGCCGGTCGGTCATCCAATGAGTCAGTGGCATAAAGTGATGGGAGAGAATGCGAGCCGCGGCTTCCCGGTTCTGAAGGAAGGCGCAAACTTTGCACTGGGCGTGGGTGGGTCCTGTCGGCAGGAGGAAGCGAACCTGTGCACGCCACGCGAGCGTTCGTCCCCGCGACAGATCTCGGCGGCGCGCCCCCTGGACTTAGAGTCTTCACGGGCACCCGACTTCGGTGCCACCCACCGTTTACTAACGAGCCCTTGCTGCGTCTGTCTCCCTGCAGAGGACCCGCCCCCCACCCCGGGTTAGGCATCCCACTTTGGGGAGGGAAAGAAGGAGAGCAGTTCCAGTTCTGGAGCTTTTGCAAACCACCTCTGTCCAGTGAAAAGATATTTTAAAGTTTAGGGCCGTGTAGACGTGAGTCCGTGAGTGAAAATATTGAAGACTCATCTTCAGACGGCAAGTTTGAGAAGCAAAACTTATTCCTGTTAAACTACTTCCATAATTGCTGGGGAGGAAAAAAAAATGTGACGTTAATGTCTTTTTTATAAGAAAATGACGCTCCCTCCTTAAATGACGGTAATGTATTACACGCTGCAGTTTGCAATTAAGATGCCTCTGACACACAGATTTATGGGTTGAGCCGGAAGTAGTGACTTACACCTGTTATCCAGACACTTGGAAGGTGCAGGGAGGAAGTGCTTTGCACTTCCCAGAAACCCTGTCTCTAAGTACATGCATGCATGCATCCATAGGAGAAGAATGGTTTGACCTATTGCTAGTAAGGTGTGCTATTAAGAAGGAAGTGAAGAGTGGCCACTTTCAGTGTCCATGTTGTCAGGAGTAACTGACATTGTTTCTGAAACGTGTTTCTGAACCTGTAACTACTGATAAAGCATGTTAAGCATGCTTGGGGAACTATCTTTTTAACCATAAGAGAGAAGAAATACTGATGTAAAAACCAAAGGAATGAGGTAGAAAAACTGCAATGCTATATTTGGATTTAGGAATACCACAATGAAATTGGTGATTTTTTTTTTTCATGAAGAAGTGAGTAATGCAACATTAGCCTCGGATGGACGAGGCCTGGAATTCAGTCCTTGGAGTGAGGGGTGTCTCCTGAAAAGAACCATGAACAGCTGTCCAGATCTCCATTTCCCACCAAATATGCCTGACTGAAAAGGTACAAGGTCTGGCTCCATGTTTGGGACAAGAAGTATGTAACAGCCTAGGACATACTTTATTCATACGTGTATTTAGCGTGATGACTTTCTCCCACAGCACACTGTGTAGAAAGGGGAAAACTGTACATGGGAGCCATGTAATAAATACTCTGTGAGCTACATGACTGAGTCTGTTAGCTTTATCATACATCGTATTCATTTAAAGAAAAGTGTGTTTGATATCTATGGATTTTGGCTGACCTGTGCAGACCTTGTGTGCTAGAATTGGGATCTGGGGACCTGAAAGAATGGGATGGACTACAGTCCAGTGCTGTAGGCAACCTGACTTCCGTTTCAGTGTATTTTATACAAAGTGTAACAAAGTAACAAAGAAAGCAACGATCCAGGACCAGGGGAGGTTGCCGGAACTCAGGAAAGCATGATGAGAAAACCGTAAATAGATGCCAGTACACACCCAGTACACACGCGCTGTCGACAGCGCAGCCCTTTCTAGGAACTTACCGATTTAAACACAATGCCTGGTGCGTACTGTAGACTTTATCTAGGGGATCTTGAGAGCATGGCAGAGGCCGTGTCCAGATTCAGGGCACACTGACCAGATCTACAGCTATGATCGGACCTTCATCTGAATGTAAATGTTTGTCATAGGAGGCACAAAATCGTGTCCATGAACAATCCAGAGAACAAAATGCACCTGAGGTAGAAGGCCCTGTGCCTTTCCTCCTGGAGTCTGCCTCACAGTTCCCCAAGGCATTGTTCACCATGCATTACCCTTTTTAACAGTGTTCCAACAGATATCACACAATAAAAATGTCACTTTGCCTCCATGGTCCTCCAGACAACTCATACTCCACTCCTAGCATGAGAACCGCATCAGACACACTTAATGACCATGGGGCACGCTTCCGCGTCAGTCAGTACTCCCGGAAGTGGCCAGTCAGGAGAAACTGCCCCAGCCATAGAAAGATAGCTAAAGGTAATGTTGGATTCTGGTTCAGAAGATGGATAGAAGCCAAGGCAGGAGTTTGAGTAAATGATGGGCTTCAGTTAATGGTAACCACTCCTTAAAAGTGAAGACTTTATCCCTCTAACATGGTCATCCTAGGAGAGACTGGATGTAACTGCATCGTGAGAACTCTCTGGAAGAATCTAACAGGTTCTATTGAAAATCAAAAGGGCAGCGTCGGGCACAGTAGCTGAATGAAAAAAATAAAGGCATTACTGCTCATAGGTGTGGTGGAAGAGGAGATATTTGATTGACAGCACAGCCAGAGGCAGAGACGTCTAGGAGAGTCCAGAGTGAAGCTGACCCTGAGCAGAGGCCATGTGAGGAAAGAGGGGAGGGGAGGACCCGGAGACCATGAGAGCAAAGAAAGGGTAGACAAAGACCGAGTAACTAAAATGGCTGGATTATATAGGGAAGGGCAGCCCAGCCCGTGGGCTGGAGAAGTTCAGGGTAGGAGGCGGGCTATGCCAGCCATACCCTTTAATAGGCAGGGACTGAGGGATGCTGGGAGAGCCTGGCAGCCAACTCCAATCTGATACGTTAAATAGGTATCTCAGCCATTTGTTTCGGGTTTGAGACCTAACAGTAGCCCATGCCTTTAACCCCAGCGTTTCTAGAGACAGAGTCATGAGGATACCTATCTGAGTTCATGGTCAGCCTGGCCACCATAGTAAGTGCCAGAGGCAGGTAGATCTCTGGAGAATTCAGCAAATAGCAGGCCATGCAGGGCTTACAGTAGACCAAAACAAAGGACCCGATTCTCAAGAGCTGTGCCCTGACTTCCACATACCCACATACGTGCCCTGACACAAAATAAATGAACATATAAAAAGAGAATGAAGACGGAAATCTGGGCATTGCTTTCAAACATTCAGGAAAGGGAGCGGGGTGGAAATGCAGGCAAGATTGGCAATGGATCCTCTTGGACGTGGATGACAGGCACACGGAGGGAGATGCCATTCTTTTGAACTCCACCTCACTTCCCAAAACAGCGTGTGCATTGGGAGTCTGGGTCTGTGCTGAGTGTCCAGGGGAGGCAGGCGCAGAGGAGAGAGCACTCTGGAAAACTAAACGGGGCAACCGCAGTCAGTAAGTCAGGATGGCCTGCCCCCCACCCGGTGCTCCCGGGACACCTTTCCAGAGCGAGCTAGGGGAGCCCGCCCTCGCGAGCCTGCGCCACCTGCGCCACCTGCGCCACCTGCAGCACCTGCTTCCAATCGGCGCAGCCTCGCAGCACCTGCAGCCCTGGGCGCGTGGGCGGGGCGGGCGCACGTGGGCGCAGACTGCGCAGGCGCCGGGGCCAGCGGCGCTCGCTCACGAGGGCGGCCTTGGGCAGCCGAGGCGAGGTAAGGGCAAGGGCGGGTGGAGCCCCTGGCCCTCTGCGGGGGATGGCGGACTCCAGCGCTGCCAGGCTTCCGAGACGGGCCCGGGCTAGAGGCACCCTGGGCTCTTTCCAGGTCAGGAGGCCCGGGCGCCCGGGCGCGGGAGCGCAGCGTCCCGATGACCTCGGGCTTGGGTCGTTGGGAGCCGGACGTTGTGAGCTGGACGTTGAGGTCGGGCGTTAAGTCGGGCGTTGAGCGGGCACAGGACCTGCACATGGGGCGAGGCTGGAAGGGCAGAGGCCACCCCTGAGCCTCACCGGGAGCTTGGGGTGTGGGTGGGGGGAGCCAGAGCCCAGGGACTGGGGTGTGGGCCAGCAGGGGCCCAGTTTGGAAACAGCTTGGACTCCTAAAGTGGCAAAAGCTGGTTGGCTGGTTATGTGCTTGGTTTTCCCCACTCAAAGACTTGTGGAACCGGTGCCTTGGTTGTAGTCGAAGCTGGAGCGCTGTCAGGGCTCCGTAGACCTTTCCCTACACCGGCTCGTCCCCTGTAGCATGTGCTGACCTAATACAATCCGCTGTGTGCCCGTCACTACTCCTGGCACCCGGCTTTTCTAGGGCCCCAGCTGGGCCTCCACGGTTAAAGCATCGGAGTGTCCGTGTGTCTTTCCCTGACTTCACGGGAATTGCATACTTAGGTATCCCATCCGGATTCTCAAGTGGGTACAGGGCCTGAGTCGGACGCGGTCGGTGGGGGGTGACAAGTTTGTTCAACTCACCTTTAGAAGTAAAGCCTTTAATCCCGAGGTTTCTTGGCTTTTATACGAGCAAACTCCCCTGGGCATGGTGGTTTACCACTGAAATCCCAGCACTTAGGGGAGGGCAAGTTCAAAGCCAGCAAAAAAGCCTTGCAAACTCCTTCCTCGTGACACACAGGTTGGAGGAGCGTGTGTCTGTGGAGGGAGGGAGGGAGAGACGGTCCGTCTGTCCGTGTGTGGTGTCTGTGTATATCCGTCTATCCATCTGCCCTGTGTTCTGAATGAGTCCTTTGTTGCTGTTTGTAGGGAGGAGGTGTTGAAGAGCAGCCTCCAATGCGCTGGGTGGGTTGAAATGCAGTGTGATTCTCTTAAGTGTTGAAGTTACTATTTCTGTCTTCGTTTTATAGTCGCAGAATCCTAGAAAGATGAAGTGATTTGAGCAAAGTAGCATCGCTAAACGAGGCAGGTGGGGCTTGGGTCTGGTTTCTGAGCTCATGCTCGGAACCATTGAGTTTTGCAGCTCCAAACCAGCCTTTCCTTTTGCATAGAATGTCTTTCTCTCCTCAAGTGCACAAGGCTACCCTGGAAGGCAAGAGCCAGGTTGGAGGAGGAAAACAAGTCATGCTGGCGTGTTTGGGGCAGGGTTTGATGGCATTGCCAGACGGAGGGCATTCTCTAGGTTATACCTGCTGTACGTTAAGAGGAAGACTGAAGTCTTCCCTGGAAAGTTATCAGAATTACCGTAGATTATCTGCATGTTTGAATCTGAATTGGTGTTTGGGATGTTGCATGTTCAGATAACTTTTTCTGTTGGCAGATATTTTTCGTGGCCCCCAAATTCATAATCTCTTATGTATTGTCAGTAGTATTGTATTAAACTATGTCTAATTTAAAACAGGAAATAGAAGTTTTAGGACACAAAAGCCCTTTTTGTTCAAAGCCACCTTAACTGACATTTAGTTTCTGGCTTCTGCTCCCGTTGAAGGATTTTGGAAGAATAAGCAGTTTCACCTGCATGCTACATTTTTGTCACTCTGACAAAAAGAATTGGCGCTCCGCTCCAGGGCCTTCCCTCTGGGCAGTGAGTACACTGGGCAGTCCTCAAGCCCGCAGTGTCCTGACAGGTGTCCCTCCCGGACACTTTTTGCAGCCACTGAAACTGGCTCATTTTCAGAGAAAGCTGCGCACACAAGAGAAAGCTCTTGAAAGAAATGCATTTCTTTTCAGTGTCTGAAGCTCAGCTGGGGACTGTCTGAGCAGAGTGCCCTTGAAAACCAGGGAGTGTAGGGTCAGCTGACAGGAGTTGAGAAGGGTGGCCGGATGATGGGTGGGGCAGGTGGGTGCGCCAGGGCCTTCTGCCCCAGAGGTAGTTAATGATGCTAATTTGGCATGGCAATAGATAGGAAGCAGATTTGAACAGTAAACTACACCATACTCCACTAGGAAGAGACAGGCTTTTCACAGGAGGTAATGTTTTCAGTTAGGAGGTCTCTTCTGTTCTTGGGACTCCAGGTTAAGGAACAGGGTGGATTTGAGACAATGGTTAAGTCTGCTTGGTGTTGTCTATAGGAATCATCTGACATCTAATGTTTGAAAGAAGTCACCTGGGTTTATAGTTCTACTCTCACAATTAAATTCACCTCTTGAATGTATTTCTCCCTCAGACTTCAATGAATGTTAAATTGCCACCTGATACGATGCCACGAAATAATTTGGAAGCCTCTACTTGTAAAATGGCAGAGCCATTTAATTTTGAGAAACAGGAAAGCAAGCTTCCACCCCAGGATTCACTAAGAAGCTCTGTAGCTCAGCATAACCATCCCAATTTCAGGCTGAAAAGCCCAGAGAATGGAAATAAAAAGAACAGTTTCTTGCTTTGTGAGCAAAGCAAACAGTATTTAACCAGTCAGGAAGATAATTTGGTGGTCTCTTCAAATGCTGCTTGTATCAACGGAGAAGTGGGTGGGTCCAAAGGAGAGAGGAAGGCTTTACCCTCAGGTGAGTGAAAACAGCTCTTGTCCTTGCTTCTGACAGATTGACTTCACTTAAGACTGACTGCCAGCAAATACCAAGTGTCCTTGGCTTCATTAGTCACAGAAACGATTGCACAGTTGGGAATGATGAGGGATGACCCTCCCCAGGGGAGTGAAAAGGAAGGCTCCTGGTGGTTTGTAATGGGAATTGGGAAGCACAGAGTAGCCCACAGATATATAGTTATGTTAATAGTTCCATGTGATTTGCTTTTAAATTATTTTTCCTGCTTCTGAAAAGCTTGTACTTTATGGAGATGAGGGCCTGATGGGATTTAATGCCTGGGTGTGTGCAATGTGATCTTTTAATGCTTCATTAATCCAGTCGAAAGTGTAACCTTCTAGGAGGCCCCTAAGTCAGATCTGAGGATGTGTGAACTGTTATGCACTTCATGGCTTAGTTTAGGGCCAGCACCAGCTTGGGCTAGTGGTCCTTGAAACTAACAAATGAAACCCAGAAATGCCAGTTTTGTTTTTAAATAAAAAACGTGCTATAGAACAGTGAAAATTACTGTGTTTAACCTCAGTGTTCATGTAGCAGTATCTTTTTTGTATATTGTACAAGGAAGGAAGGATTACTCCCAATTTGATGAGGTATGCAAAGCATAGGACTGCAACCTAAGAAGGATACCAGGCCTCCATCATGCTTTTTCCAAATGTTTTCTCAAAACTTACCAGTTTGCTACTGCAAGAACAACAAAATATTTTGCAGTAGGTGACGAACAAAGTTTAGGTAAATTAGAATCTTAGGAACATGTACTTGTACTACGAGCTTCATGCTTTGTGATGCTGACGTTGGGCATCAACATCTGACAGTACTTGGAAACTCAGTAAATCAGTGTTCCAAATAGCACAGGCCACTGGTAGCTATAGAAGTTACATGATCTGGAGCTCCACACTGTATTAGGATAACTTTTTTTAAAAATACGTTTTATTGAAAATAAAGTCTTTTGTGTAATATTCTGAACATGGTTTCCGCTTCCAGCTCCTTCAGATCCTTCCACCCATCAGTTCCATACCCTTTCTCTTTTTAGAAAAGCTAACAAAACAGATTTAAACAAACAAAAGCACAAGAAACACATAGGTCAAGAAAAACAAGATCAGAAACCATAATATACAAGCAAAAAATTAGTAAGACTAAGACGAGCGCTCATGCCCATGCATGTGAGTGCGTGCGTGCGCACGCGCGCACACACACACACACACACACACGCAGCAGCAGCATGAGAAAACATCTACAAGCATACCATAGAACTCACTTTGTGTTGGCATCGACTGCTAGACAGGGGTTGTCCTTCCATGTGGTTAAGTTACCCAGTCAGATTCCTTTGTCAGTTGCAGAGAGCTTTTTGGTTAGGGTGGAGTGTCCTGTCCACTTCCCCTCTGTGTGGGAATGTCTGCAATCTGAGTTCTAAGTGTGTCAACCTGCTGTCTGGAAGATGCTGCTTCCTTGGTGTCTTCTGTCCTCTCTGGTTCTTAGAATCTTTCCCCTTCATCTTCCTTATAGGTCTGAGTCCTGAGGAGAGCAGTTTGATAAAAACATCTCCTTCAGGGCCCAGTATTGCAAAGTCTCTGCAATTGTCCACTCTGGGGCGCTGTATTAGTTCCTGTCTACTATGCAGGCTTTTCTGATGGTGGCGGAGCGAGGCACTGATCTGTGGTATAGCGGAATGCTTTGCTCCTTTAGCAGAACAGCAGTGTTATTCCGTGTCTGTGGGCTCCCTGAGCAGTGTGGAGCACGTAGTTGGTTATTGTCACAGTTTGTGTCATGTCTCAGTGTCATGTAGGCAGGTCAGGATTTGAAGCTGGGGGTTTACTTTTCCCCTCTGGTAGTGTGCAGAGTGTCTTCCAGTACCAGAATCACTAGTCAGCAGGGGTGAAGGCTGTGGGTAGCCACCCTTTGACTCTGTGTTCAATGATGTGTAAGTATTGCCTTCAGTAGTAGCTTTTACCATCAGTTGTGGAAAGTAACCAGCAATAGCCTGACATGTTTGGAAAATGTCCATGGGTTCCCTCTGGTCAACTACTCAACCAGATGTAATCCATCCCTGGCAGTGGAGAGCTCACTTGGTGGTGAAAGGTGGGGCTTGGCCCCCCTTTATTTTTGGTAACTATTTCGATTTCTCTCATAGTTTAAGAAGCTTTTACAGTAGGTTTCCATACAACCTCTGAAATGGCCCTTAGTGTTAGTTCTTCCTGTCTGCCTTCTTTACCCCTTCCTCCCCTCCCCATACAGCCCTCCTGTGTATTAGCACCGACTCTTACTTTATTTGCTGTTGATGTGCTGGTGAGGGGCAGCGTTACCAGTCCTGTGAGGAGAACACCTGACGCTCCTTTTCCTGTCTGTGGGGCTGGGTCTTTCGAGACCCTTAGGAGCAGCACGCCGCCATAGGTGACTGAGTATAGAGGAGGGGCATACAGGGGTCCAAGTAACTGGTTAGGCCATCCATTTAAGAACAGCAAACGTGTAGGATTGAACAGGTGTGAGAATGTCCTTTCTGCCTGGAGAAAAGCTCACAGTCGAAGCAATAGTCAAGAGACCATATGCATACCTGTGATGCTAGAAAAGTCTGTTTTCTACCAGAAAAAGGGAGCTGCCGTTGTGTTAGTGTGGCTGGGAGGCTGTAGGGGCTACTGTTTGGACCTCACTGAGTTGTGCCATTCTCATGCTCAGAAGTGAAACGTAGCATTTGGCGTTTCACGGGAATTGTGTTCTCTCCTAGGAAACCCAGTGTCACCATTAAGTCTTGGAAACAGTTCACCTCCCAACCAAGTAAAAGCTGTAAGTTTTTCCATCTTGACATTTTGTGGGGCTGTACTACTAATGGGGCGGGGTCAAAGTCAAGTTTGCTTTTCTCAGGTTAACCTAGAAGCTGGCTTGGAAAAGTCCTTCGTTTTGTTTTTTAAAGTAACTGTAGATTTGCATGCGGGCAGGCCTTAGGGTTAGAGTGAAGCCCTTCCGTGTAACCTTCATCCAGTGACCTCCAGGGTCACAGAGAACATCGCTGTCATCACAGGGTCCCTTACGTGCCTTTCTGTGGCTGCCTCCACAGGCTTTGCCCCTCATTGAACCCTGGCAGCACCTTAATGTATCCAGGGTTGCGCACTTTTGTCGTTTTGAGAATGTTTTCTTTGTAATTCTATTAGAGGCTTCTCTCTCTGAGTAATTCCTTGAGGATTGGGCTGTGTTTTTAGTATTTTCTTATGCTATATGCGTTATCCATTGGAGAAAATGTTTGACTTTTGTTCCTTTGCTGGGTGGGTCATTTGGGTTTCTTAACTTGTAGGTTTTGAAAGTTCTTTTTTATGCTTCACAATACGAGTCCTTTTTTGTTTGTTTTGTGAAGCATGGTTTGCCTGGCCTTGCCTCTGCTTCCAATCTTGTCTTTTCCTAATGAAGCCTTTTGGAAGATGTCTGGCTCATCAGATTCTTCTGTGAGTGTTGAACCTTGGGTGTTAAGACTGTAAACTCTTTGCTACTCTAGATCGCTCAGACATGTTCCTCATGAGAATGTTTCATAGTTTTATATTTTGATCCCTTTTCAGTTAATTTTGTTTAAGGAGCTTGGGTTGTGATCTCTTGTTTGTAGGTGTTCTGTTGTCCTGGGTGCTGTTTGTGGGAAATTTAGCTTTTCTTCATTGTCTGTGAATTAGTAAAGTCAGCTGATATTTTCAAAATCATAGATACCACAGATCATCTCCGTTCTACATTGCTTTCCACTCAATCCCCTCCCCCATCAGTGCCATGGACACATAGCCAGATAGTACCGAAATGGAATTGATCACTCACCTTTATTTGCACTGATAAGAATAGTCTTGTTCCCATGTCTACAAATCAATCCTGCTCTGATCTGGGTAAGATGGAGGCAGGCACCTCTTCTGTACTGAATCTTGTGATCCACAGACGTGTGTGTCTCTGTGTCTCTGATTTGCTTTCACTTGTGGTTTTCAGCTCCCATGTTAAATCTTCTGTAAGATTTATGCAGAAGAATGTTTTTTGAGTGATTACGTGTCCTTGAGTTCATTGCTAAGAAGCAGAAATGGTAGAGCTTTCTTCTTCATCTTGTGTCTTTGTTGAAGGCATTTATTTTAGGAATTAAATTCATGTACTGTAATGGTTAATACAGTGATGGATATTTTAGTCTGTTATTTTTGTGGGTAGCATTAATATCTTAATTGTTCCTCTGAGATAAATACCATGTGGTCATGGAATGTTAACTTTTTACTGTTTGTATGGTTGATATCAATGAAATACTGACCTTGGTAAAAGAAAGGTGTTCTCTTCTGTTTCTTCAAACTGTACAATTAAAATTCTCTGGTGAAAATAGCCAAGACTTTGTCATTTGTTTTGGGGGGGTCTTAAACTATGATAGAATTTCCTGAATATTTATAACTGTTCAAATTATTTCATATTTGTTTATAAATTTTTAAAACAGTCTGTTACTTGTATAGTCACTGTCTATGTATGCTGAGTCCAGTCTGTTTTGGATTAGTTTGTAGGGTGTGTAATTCAGTTGTATTCCATTTTATTTATTTGACTTGGAGACATCGAGTTTTTGGTTCGTGTGCTCTGCCCTCCCCCACCTGCCATGGACTTTGACAGTGTCCCATGAGTTATGATAACTTGTGTTTTCTGAGACCCACAATTTTTTGTTTTGTTTTGTTTTTCCAGACAGGGTCTCTTGGTGGCTTTGGAGCCTGTCCTGGAACTAGGTTTTGTAGACCAGGTTGGTCTCAAACTCAGAGATCCGCTTGCCTCTCCCTCCCGAGTGGAGACACACACATTATTTAGAAGAGTGTTTGGCACGATGGCATTACTGCCTTCTGAGTGCCTGTTCCCAGCTGGAGTTTCCTGTGGTCTGAGAAATCTGTGATTTGCATTTCAGCCCACCTTTCTTAGCTCTGTGCTGGCTGACTCCCCCCCCCCCCACACCACACACCACACACAGACACAAGTCCTTATGGTTGTGGTTTGATTGAAAGGTCAGGTCCCAGGCTGGCTGTGAGTGCCCTGCTAGCCCTTGCGGAGAGTACTGGTTCTGCCCTAGCAGGACCTGTTGACTGACATCTGCCTCGTTCTGATTCTTGCTGGTTTCTGTCTGGTCTGTCAGTGGTTGAGAGAGACTTAAATCTCCGAGTGCACTCACCCCCCCACCTTTCTTTTCCTCAGTTTTCTTCATGCCGTGGAGCTCTGCTGTTGACCCCACCATTAGGAGCCCAGGGCTGTGAGGTCTGCTTGTTTATCATATACTGTCCTCTGTGGAAAGTCTCTCCTTTTATCCGATAGTTATGCACTGTCCCCGGCCTCTGTTAATTGACGTTCATGAGGAAATGTACCATCATCCGCTACAGGAGTTTCTCACACACAGTAAATTTGAGTGATGTCTTGTTGAACCACTCACCCATATTGAAAGCTTATCTTCTGCCACCCCGTCTCCCTGCATTCTGTGAGCATTTTGATTGGTTCCTGTCTCTGAAGCACTTTCCTAGTGGTTACCATACATTTTACATTATATATACACAATATATGTATTGTAACTTTATATATTTTACAATATTTAAAATATTATTTACTTTATATAGATACAAGGCATCTATGTAAAATATTTTTATCTGTTTAATTTTTTTTTTTATAAAATGATCAGAGTTAGTGCCTTCTCTACCCCTTTCAGGGTTGACCTTATGCTTGCTTTGTATGCTAACTTTAGGGTTTCATCACCAGCGAGGCAGTCCCAATGCAGTGCTGAAGAGACATTCTAATATTGATGTTCTTTATTCTTCATAGAAGACCAGCAATAACGTGTCTCCTGAAAAACCAAAAAAATCCCAGAAGCTGTTTGAGAATGCCTTGTCTGTAAACAATCCAGCGCTCTTCAGCTCTTTAGTCCCGCCCCTTCGGTCCACAACCTGCCACCGCTGTGGCCTGTTTGGTAAGCCAGCTCAGTTGGGCGCCTGTTCTGTGCATTTGGGAATGTTGTGTTAGGGTGAGCGTTAAATGTGTTTGGGTTTGACTATAAATGGTGCGTGTGGTGTTGTATACTCATTAGGAGTGTTTTATTAGGTGAGCATTAAGTGTGTTTGACTATAAATGGTATGCCCATTACTCATCTGCAGCAGCTGACTGCTCTTCATACCTTCCTTCTTCTGCTTTCTCAGCTATTACTGATTTTTAAACAAAGCTTTCATGTCCTGAAGTGCAGAGAATCATCTAACAAAATAGAGACTTCTGTAGCCTTAGAGCCTGCTATTCTGTCTCTTTCCTATCATTCTATCCCTCACCCAGCCAATGGTGTTGTACTGTCACATAAATAGAATTACACAGCCATAGGCCCATTTGTTTACATTTTATTTATTTAATTTAGACTGGTTATCAGATTAGTCTGTCAATGTATCAATTATTTGCTGAGATAGTAATTGCATGACTATATTAGTGTTTTACAATTTATTTGCTAAAATGAACAGATGGCTGTACACCTTCACCATGTAGAATGTGGTGTTTTGGTAGGTTGCTTGTCTGTTTGGTAAGAGATGTTGTGCCTATGTCTAGCTATTGGCTGTGGTGAGCAGATCTCTGGATAGCTTTGCCCCAGACTGTAAGCCTCTGAGTGTCCACCCAAGAGTAGAACACGTGATCATGTTCTATAAGAGGCCACAAAGCATTGCCTAGGCCACTTCCTTGGTCATGAGTTGTGCTTGTCCGGGAGCTTTGTCAGCATTGGTGGTGTTGGTCCGTGACGACCACCTTCCCCATGGTGGACAACGTGGCTCATGGTTCTGGTTTTGGTCTCCTTGGGACCTGCTGTCTTTACCAACTTGGAAATTTGAGCTTTTTAATTTTTTTTTTTCATTTTTGGAGTTGAAGCATTTAAGATCTTTTTGTTTCTTGATTTTAGATTAGTTTTCTTCCACCTGGAGACCGATAGGATTTTATTTCAGAAGTGTCCCGTTTCCCCAGTGACTCTTGACCATTCTATTTTGAATGACACACGCCTCTCCTCTCCTGTGCCTCCCATGTACCCTCCCCTCTCCGTGGCAGTCCTGTGCCTCCATTTCTCACTTTACGGGACCTGACCCTGAGTAGCTCAGCGTCTGCATGGTCTCTCGGTGATTAGCACAGTGATGTGTGACCAACCGCAGCTCTTCAGGGTTTTGAATATGTATTTATTTAAGAAATGATTTGTTTTTATTTTGTGTGTGGGTGTTTTGTCCACATGTGTCTGTTTTTCATGTATATACATTGCCGGAGGAAGCAGAAGAGGGCAGTTTATCTCCTGGAACTGACTGTTGGGAGCCTCCATGTAGGGGATGGGACTCGAACCTGGGTCCTCCAAAAGAGCAGTCTTTGCTCATAACCCCTGAGGTTCCTCTGCAGCCGACCTCTTCTGTGCCTTAAGCTGAGACAGAGTGTGCTCTACAGGGTCGCTGAGGTGTTCCCAGTGCAAGCAGACATACTATTGCTCCACAGCATGCCAGAGGAGGGATTGGTCTTCCCACAGTACCGTCTGCAGGCCTGTGCAGCAAAGGTGAGCACGCGTGTTCCGATAAAGAGGAGCTAAGTGATGTGCTTGCTGTTATTTTGCAACCTCCTGCCAGGCCTGCTTGCAATTCTGAAGCACTAGCTAGTACTTAGCAAGATTTAGAACCTCAATGTGAGCTTTTTATCTTAGATTCATGTTACTGTTTTGCGTGTATGTATATATACATGCCACATGTGTGTCTGATGACTGTGGAAATAGTGAGCTTCCATGTGGGTGCTAGGAATTGAACCTGGATCTGTTGCAAGAGCAAGTGCTCTTTTCTTAACTCACTGAGCCAAGTCTCTAGCTCCTCAAGTGAATTTCCAATGGCTGGAAGTTCACAGCACCCATTAGTTGTCCTGGGTGTTAGTGCTGCAGCCTCTCAGTGCCTCGTGCCTCATGAGGTGTGGTCCACTTTACACTTGAGTTCATACGGGCTGCAGGGACCACCTGCATCTCACAGACGAGGACTCTGAAGCCAGGGGACCTCAGGACTACGGTTCTGTTTCCCGGGGACCTCAGGACTATGGTTCTGTATCCTGGGGACCTCAGGACTATGGCTCTGTTTCCCGGGGACCTCAGGACTATGGTTCTGTTTCCCGGGGACCTCAGGACTACGGTTCTGTTTTCCGGGGACCTCAGGACTACGGTTCTGTTTCCCGGGGACCTCAGGACTATGGTTCTGTATCCTGGGGACCTCAGGACTATGGTTCTGTTTCCCAGGGACCTCAGGACTACGGTTCTGTTTCCCGGGGACCTCAGGACTACGGTTCTCTGTTTCCCGGGGACCTCAGGACTATGGTTCTGTATCCTTGGGACCTCAGGACTACGGTTCTGTTTCCCGGGGACCTCAGGACTATGGTTCTGTTTCCCGGGGACCTCAGGACTATGGTTCTGTTTCCCGGGGACCTTAGGACTACTGTACTCTGCTGTAAGCATCACTCTTGGCAAGTTTTTGCCCTCCTAACTTTTGTTGAGAATTCTAACAAAGTTAATATTTATGACCCTTTTTAAAGAGTTTCTTTGTACTGTAAGAATTATAATCAGTTGTCATCTTTCAGTTTGCACAAGCTTGAAGATAATAAGCCACCATATGAAACAAAGAGCATTGAAGTGAAAAATGAGGTAGGGTGTTTTGGCATTAATTTTAAATAACTTTCCTTTATGAGGGCTTGAGCAAGCTCAGCTATTTTGAACTTCTACATCACACTTGCATTCATTTCTAAACAAAACAAGATGTCATTAATTCCATACCCCTAGTGGTTAGGGTGGCATGGTATAATTTGGGGTGGGGTGGCTGCTTGGGGCTTTTGAGAATTGTTTATATACAGTCTTTGCCTAAATGTTCTTGAGGCAGCCATGTTTCTGTCTAAAGGCATGTGGACTACTGCAGAGCTCTCGCTTTAGAGCGCCAACGGCACAGGCTCTTCATCTGTGGGTCTCGATTCTAGGCCTGTCTCTCTCCTATTTTGTGTTAGCTATGTAGACCAAAGCGTTCATTCTACCATTGTGTCCAATTCGTATTCATAGAGAATTCTCATCTTTGTAGCTGCTACTACCTCCTACTGGATAAAAACAAAAACATTAACAGGTACACATTTAAACTTTTAAATGTTGCCATATATAGTGGTTTGTACCTGCAAACCCAGAACTTGCGAGGCCTTGAGTTCTAGCTTAGTCTACGTAGTTTCCTGCCAGCCTGCAGGAAACTAAATGTTGCATGGATTAATCAGTGTGACTATCTGAAGGTGATCTTTCCTGTCACTCACCACTCCTGCTTTGGACCCTGTGTGTCCCCTGCCTGTGGAAAGTGGCTCTGGGGAGTTCTTAGAGAACTTCCCAGCTCCTGTGCTTCCCGACTTATGCCACCATGCCACTGGAAGCCACTTATGTGTCACAGCTTTCTGTGCTTTTTCCGAGCAGAGTGACTGTCCCCTTGGAGTCCCCGAAGAAATGACTGCTGGTGCTGAACGAGTGATGTTCTCGGATTTGAGAAGTCTCCAACTCAAGAAAGCCATGGAAATAAAGGTATTTGTTGGACTTTCCATGGAGAGAGCTGGAAAGAACTGCTGGGTGGTTTATTCCTCGTTAGTTGTTACGCATATTGATTTACAGTGCAACTAAGTGCATCCAGTGAAGTCAGTAGGAGTTAGGAAAACCATCAAATTTAAGGAACTTGTTTTGTTTTTCCTGACTTTGAAAGGGCACAGTTACTGAATTCAAGAACCCAAGTAACTTTTACATCCAGCTGTATTCTTCGGAGGTTTTAGAATGCATGAACCAGCTCTCTGCAAGCTTGAAGGAAACGTATGCAAAAGTGGTGCCTGAAGAAGATTACCTTCCTGTGAAGGGGGAAGTCTGTGTTGCCAAGTACACCGTTGATCAGGTAACCACCGACAGACGAATTGTTTAACAGCGAGCTTCAGCTCCCCTTGTTGGGTCACTTTATGAAGACCAAGCTATCAAAGCTGCAGCACTGGCAAGCTCGGTCACCCTGTCTCTTCCCTGCTCCCCTGCCCCCCCAGCCCTGTGCTCTCTGCTTTATTCCTAAGTGATTGTGAGCATATTGCTTGCTGGCCTTCAGAGATGACTGGCGTGTAGCTGAGGCAGTGTGTGGTAGTCATCTGGGCTATAGAAACTCTTGAGTTGTCCATTTTGGCCATTTTGGATTTCTCATCGAAAGGTTGCTTTTGAGTACCTACAGAGGAAAGGCAGTCTTTCATTTGCCTGCTCTCCAGGCTGGTCAATGGCTTCATAGACTAGGATTGTGAAATTGGTTTGAAACAGAATGTCCCCTCTTTGCCTTGCAGACTTGGAACAGAGCGATAATACAAGGCATTGATGTTCTACAGAAGAAGGCACAAGTCTTGTACATTGATTATGGAAATGAAGAAGTGATTCCCATAGACAGAATTCACCAGCTAAACAAGAACATTGACTTGTTTCCTCCTTCCGTGAGTCTCTCTGTACATCCCTGTCCTCATGCCCTGGGAGCAGTGCCTGTTGCCATGGATGCAGTATTTGCAGCTGTGCCCCTGTGTCACTGTGGCGACACTGTCCTGGCTGTGGCAGTGTGGATGAATACCCTGTAGCTGGGCTCTTCTGCTGTTCCTCTCTAGGTAGCATCTTTTGTAAGTAACCTTTTCAGGCATAGGTTAACAGCTCTATAAATCCGCCATCTCTATATCTATGTATTATTGGAAAGAAGCACAGTTGATAGATAACAAAGGTAATTTCTGTCCTGTTTCTGAAGCTTCAGTTGCCAGCAGTTAGCATTGCAAGTAGAAGCATCAAAGGGGTCAACTGAACCTCAGTTCAGATGGCTTACTGGTAGTATTGGAGGCTTTTGATGATTCTTTTTAGCATTAAGTAAACTCTTTTCAAAACTCTTTGAATAATTAGACAATTTCATTTTAAAATACTGATTCTTGGAAGTAACTTGCACAAAATCTTTCAGGCCATAAAGTGCTTTGTGGCAGGTGTCATCCCAGCCGACGGTGAGTGGAGTGCAGAGTGTATCACAGCTGTCAAGGCTCTGCTTCTGGAGCAGTACTGCTCAGTCAAGATCGTGGACGTCTTAGGGGAGGAAGTGCTCACCTATGCTGCTGATGTTGTACTAGAAAGTTCAGGTAAGATCAGAGTCTATCATGTTGTTTAGTTCTCGTCTATTTCTCAGGAGCAACAGAGTCATGCATGGGAGGCCAAGAAATGTCTCTCAAGTCATCCCCATTGTGATGAAAGAGGGGCCCTGCTTTAGCAGTTTGCCAAAACTGTATGGAGTTAGATGGTTTAGAGGTCCAGATTTGGCTAACATGGGGTAGCTATATTATTATCCTTTCAATATGCCATTACAATGCCTGTTCATGATTCTGTCTTCTCATCCCCCATGCATTTTCTTGGAGCATGAGCACAGTATACACTCACACAGGCACACACGCATACACAGCTTAGTACTGTTAAGAGTAAGGTTTTTCCTGCGGGTCTGGTCTCACCGCCACGCCAGCCCCAAATAACACACAGACTCTGTATTAGATATAACTCTGTTGGCCTGTTACTAGTTTCTTATTGACTAGCTCTGTCTTAAATATTAACCCATTTCTATTCATCTAAGTCCTTCTGCGTGGTCTCATCTTACTGGAGAGAGGGGCTGGCCTTCTCTCTCCGTCCTCCATCTTTGAACTCCTCCCTACTCCTTCCTCTCTCCTCCTTGTCTCCTAGTTCCAACTATCTTGCTTTCCTATTGGCCAACAGTGCTTTATTCATTAACCAATAAGAGAAACATATTTACAGAATGACATCTCCCGTCAGTACTCAGTGTTTATGTTGTAGAGTAGAGGCCCTCTGGAATCTGCCACCAAAGTCTGACAAGTGGCCCCTCCTACTTTAGTGGTCACTGCTTCAGTTCCAGGTACTGTCCCTCAGTGCTCTGTGTGGCACAGAGCAGGAGCCTGTCTGTTGACATCTAGTATACAGTCTGTCTTATTTTATTTATTTTTGACATGTGTATCTCATACTGTGATTTCAGCTTTGGGGTGTGGGCTCACATCAATGTTGGCTGATCTGCTTGGGTCTTTCATTAGTTTCCATAGTTTTCTCTCAGATTTGAGCATGCTTCTGAGCCAATAACTGACTTTATTACTAAGAATTTTGAAGATGAACCTTTTCATGAAATTTTTGGTTAAGTGGCTTGGAATTTTTTTTTTATTTTAAAAACTGATTTTCTAAATATCATTTTGCCTGTAATAACTGCCTGGTGAAGGAAAGTCAACCTGTGCAAGGGATAGAACACTTTCCCGTCCGTGGAGCTTTAGATAGTCTCAATGGAGATGTATTTTCTTAACCCCCTTTTAGGAAAACAGCTGGACCGTGTGCTTGTGGAAATGGGGTATGGTGTGAAACCAGACGAGCAAAGTGCAGACCAGGGTGAGTACCCAGGCTCTCGCTGAACTGTGACTCCAGCAGGGCCCTCCACATCCCAGGGAGCACCTCACTTGTCCTCGAAAGGCGTGGAGGCAGCATTGTTAGGACCACCCCGTAAACTTCCATTCAGGGTAGTTTTCATTTAGAAATCCATGATCTAACCTCGGTTTCCCCTCCTGCCCCTCTGAGTCTCCTTTTCAGATTAGTCCTAATGTGATCATCGTTAGAGGCTTTAAAGCAAACTGGGTTGAGCTCTCTGAGATTCTGTGCTAGTCAGATGTTTCTTAAGACCTTAGTTCCCCCCCCCCCCATTAACGGTGTGTGTACATGCTTACATCAGGTTTAACAAGAGAATTAGATTTCCTAAGACCCTAGGACACCTCTCATGACTTGTTCATATGCACAGATTTTATTTCTGTCTCCTTTCTCCTTTGCCACTTGCTTTGGATGTAGACATAAACCATTCTTTTGTCCACAGTGTAGAGGTGACGGTAAGTTGGTGGCTACTTGTCCCAAAGACAGACCGGACCGCCCTGAGGTCTGTCCCCTTCATCCGTGGTTTCTTCTCTTACAGTCATCTCTTTAGGAACCTTTATGACGATGAAAACCACCTTCGATGGTTCTTTTACCTCTGTGTATCCTATGTTCCTGAGGGGAACCTGGGGCCCACAGGGTGCAGACACACAATCTGGGAGTGGGGAAAACTTGGGCAGAGCAGCAGAAACGGTGGAGGTGCTTCTGGGAAAGGGCGTCACGAGTCATCAGCACAGATGCACTGCAGCTGTGTGCAGCAAGGAGCAGAAGGGCCCGAGAGCTCTGCCACTGCTGAGGCTCCATGAGGTGGGATGAAGTAGTCTTAAGGGTTAGCACACCAAGCAACAGTACAGACTGAAGAAATAAAGAACACACTTGTGAACACATGTACATAAAAGGACAGGGTTGGCTCTGAACAGTGGAAAGTGGAGTATGGCTGGAGCTGGCCATGAAGAAAAGCTGCAGGGCAGGGAGCTTAACCTTAGGGGGTGAACAGGAGCAGGACCACGGAAGGTCCCTGCTGTGCTGAATGGGAAGAGACAGCAATGTGGAGTAATGCCTTGCTCTAGCGGAAAGAGAAAGGGATGAAGATCGGCAGACATCCTGACGACCCTGAAGACCTCTGGCCAGGCTGACAACCCTTCACACCCTGTCTGTGGTGCTTTGAATGAAAGAATAGAAGGAGAAGGTGTGGACTTGTTGGAGGGAGCGGTGGGCCTTGAGGCGCTAAGATGCAGCCACGGCAGGCCCAGGCACTCTCCTGCCTATGGATGGCAGGTGGTCCTCTGCTACTTCGGTAGCAGCGTTCGCTCTGCCTGCGATGGAAATGGACGGACTCTCTGAAACTGTTGACTCTTTTATAAGAGTCATGGCCATGACCATGACGTCTCATCACAGCAGTAGAAGCCCTGAGGCACTGGTGAAGGCTGTGCTGCAGCCTCTGCCCTTTCTGTTGAAGACTGTCCGTGCCAGTGTACTGTGTGCAGTCTCTTGACTTGTGACAGCAAAGATTCCTTACTCGGCTCCTTCCTTCCCAGTCCTTAGTCAGATGGCACACAGTAGGGTTCACCATGTGCTTCGTGGGACTGAAGGAGCTCTTGGCGGGTGCTGTGCAGAATTTGCAGAGCTGTGAGGGGGAGTGTGATGATCGTTCACTCACTCAGCCTGCTTAGATGTGGGGCCACAGATGCTGACAGGGCATTGAACGCCCCAAAAGCCACCAGATCGTCATCTCTTCCTGTGCAACAACAGGACACCGGTTTATTTTTCTTGCTATTGAGTTTTTCTTTTGCTCAAGCCTTCATTTATATTTTGATTTTTTTTGGAACACATAAAATATTTTTAATGTTTACTTTGTTGCATATAAGATCATTGGCCTTTACCTTGGCTGGGGTTTGGAGCCATTTCAGAGAGACTTTGAGCTAATTTCAAGACTCGTGCACTGTGTTGTGGGAAGTTGAGCCGTGAAGGCAGGACGGCATGGTGCTGTTGGGGCTGTCTCAGGTCTGTGAGACCTGACAGGTCTGTGACGTTAATTCTGGAAACTGTTTATCTCCTGATGTACACGTCTGGGTTAGCAGTGAAACTGACCTCGGGTTTTATTTGGACAGTGTCATCTTCTGATACAGTATCAGTGGAATTCTGATATTGATGTCATGATGTCTTTGTCTTGACGCTAAATGCCTTGAGACCATGAGTTTTGTAGGCCATCTGTTTAGTTTTCATTCCATCCGAGCTGTTGCAGGTTGTTCAAGCCCCTGCTGCGTACGTCTCTGACGTCAGCTCAGAACCAAGCCATGTGGTTTTTATGTCACCTTTTCTTCATCTGAACTGACTAATGCATTTTTAAGTGTAATTTCAATTAAATTCAGTATATTTATGAAGCAAATGGTTTTCCGTGTGTTCTGCTTTGTGTCTTCAGGACCCTGTGATGTAGCCAACTCTAAGACGCATTTCACTGAGCTCCTTAGAGAGTGGCTGTTTTTCTTGAACACTTTCGTTAGGTTTTCCTTCCTCTCTGCAGGGCCCCACTGAGTGCTCGCTCTGGTTCCCCGGGGCTGTGGTCCCTCAGTCGGCACTACACTCCATCTTTGTTTTAAAGCAATTGAGGCTGTTCCCGTGTTGCTTTGTTACTGTCACCCTTCTGCTCTCTCAGGCGCTGCTGAGGACATTGGGAGAGTGACCCCTGACAAGGTCGCTATAGACAGAAATGCCCTGATCCCCAAAGTGCTGACCTTGACTGTGGGTGATGAGTTCTGCGGAGTGGTTGCCCACATCCAGACACCAGAGGACTTCTTCTGTCAGCAGCTGCAGAGTGGCCGTGAGTCAGTTTTCTTCATTTGTTGTTATCGCCTGCAAGACGAGGAACCGCATTCCCGTGTCTAAGTCGTGATTTGTGTCTGCAGACAAGCTTGCGGAGCTTCAGGAATCCCTCAGTGAATACTGCAGCCAAGTAACTCCACGCTCTGACTTCTACCCAACCATCGGGGACGTGTGCTGTGCTCAGTTCTCAGGTGAGGACATGTTCCACATAACGCTGTACATACCGTTGAGTGAAATCAGTCTTTGATTCATACCAAAGGGTCACACATGGGCTTATAATTAACACGCACCAGTTATGTTCCTAAACATCCCAGTCAGAGTAGATCAAAGCAGTTAGTATGGCACATACAAGGACAGTTTGTTTTGCATCAAGAGCCTGAAGTGGTAAGGTGTTTTTCTTTTTAACTCTTTACCAGACCCTTTCTATTTAGAGATGAACATCAGCCATCCTGCTTACCCGAGTACGGGAAGTAGAGGCTTCCACTTAGGGAGCTGTGTTTGAGACATCAAGAGGCCCCGGAGGCCTAGAGCTGCCATGACCTTTGTAGCTACAAGTTTCACTTTTTAGAAGCCCAGTTCTGTCGCCTTGTCGTAAGGGACAGCCCAGCTGGCTCACTGAATACTCAATGCTGGGGGAGCCACTGGTGTACGCGTCTTCTGGCTGGAATCCATTTATTTCATCCTGCTACAAGTGTTCCAGGAATGGCCTTACTTGGCATCTTAGCAAGTAATCTGTGTGCCTTGGTGATTGACAGGGTTGGAACAGTTCTCTGTCCTGCCGAGCCATCTGTTAGCTATTGGAGAAACAAAGTCATAATGATGTTATATGCCATAGCATGATAGTCAGTCCTCAATGTCACCTTGAAGGATTTCACAGCAGGCATGAGCCCCACCCATGAAGGACTGACACCTGACACCATGAGCCAACACGGGTCCTGCTTTGGGAAGGTTGGGGGTTCGGAAAGCAAGACTGTAGTGTTTAGTGAGCATGTGTGCTGAGTGCTTCCTATCCCAGCAGAGTGGACACTGGCTGTCTCTAGTTGAGGACTTGTACTGGCTGTGGGTGCTGGGGAGCACCTGGGAGGGTGTTGGGGAGCACCTGGGAGGGTGTTGGGGAGCACCTGGGAGGGTGTTGGGGAGCATCTGTGAGGGTGTTGGGGAGCACCTGGGAGGGCTGTGAGGGTGCTGGGGAGCACCTGGGAGGGCTGTGAGGGTGCTGGGGAGCACCTGGGAGGGTGTTGGGGAGCACCTGGGAGGGTGCTGGGGAGCACCTGGGAGGGCTGTGAGGGTGCTGGGGAGCACCTGGGAGGGCTGTGAGGGTGCTGGGGAGCACCTGTGCTGGCTGCAGGGGGTCTGAGATGGCTCTCTCCTTGTTTCAGAGGATGACCAGTGGTACCGCGCCTCGGTTCTGGCCTATGCTTCTGAGGAGTCTGTCCTGGTTGGATACGTCGATTATGGAAACTTTGAAATTCTTAGTTTGAAAAGACTTTGTCCCATAATTCCCAAGTTGTTGGACTTGCCGATGCAAGCTCTGAATTGTGTGCTGGCAGGTATGAAATGTGTGGTCTTCCCATCTTTAAATATTAAAGTAAAAATGAAAGTGTGAGAAGACATGTGTGACAGGTAGGCTTGGCTGTTACTGGTCAGATGCTTGTCCATAGGACCCAGGGCCTCCACCCGTCGGTACATTGTCTTCAGCAAACTTCACAGGTCCACCATGATTGCAGGTTGTATCTCAGACATTTCTGAGCTTTGAGCAGTGACGTTCTCTTAATTGTTTTGGCTGTGTTTGCATTATTTCCAAGATCACTTCACTTGCATGTGCCGCAAGACCACAAAATACCTCCAAAGGGTGAGTTCCCCCAGCTGAAGAGGGGTCCATGAGTGTGTGTCTTGTGTCTGTGGGACATACTGTCTCCTGTTCCATGGAAAGGGTTGAGTTTGCTTCTACACCCCTCAGAAAAGCAGGAGACAGTGAATCCTGTCACACATTTGGGCTGCAGAAAAGCCTCTACAGCATTCACCCTGAGCAGTTTTCCAAATCAGTTCAGTTTTCTTCATTAACAGAAGCTAGTGGAGAGTTCCCTTACTCAGCTTTAGTTTTGTACTGATTCTAGCTGACCTTTGAATTACTCGTTTATGAATACCTTCCAGTATTGATTTGTATTACAAACACACAAACATACACACACACTTTCCTGTTAATTTTTTTCTTGGTGTCTTATACCATTGTGATTACCTTAATTGCTTTTCTTAATTATAATTTAGGACATCTCCATCGCACCCTGAGATCTCATGTTTTACAGGACAACCTGTTCCCAAGCATAGCTAATCTATCTTTCTCTATAGATTTGACTTTGTGGACATTTTCTATGGATGGAATTAAGAATTTTGTTTTTGTTTTTTGAGACAGGGTTTCTCTGTATTGTTTTGGAGCCTGTCCTGGAACTCGCTTTATAGACTAGGCTGGCCTCAAACTCAGAGATCTGCCTGCCTCTGTCTCAAAAGTGCTGGGGTTAAAGGCGTGAGCCACCAATGCCCAGCTAAGATTTTTGTTTTTATATATTGAGGTACAGAAGCATTTTTAATTCTGCTCTTTTTCATATTTATAAAATCTTCTTTAGATGGTATGTTTTGGTTCTAGTGTTTGACTCTGAAGAAATGAAGTTAAATGTAAAAATGCTTGTTTTAGGACTGATTTTAACATCTTTAACACTTACTTGGTAGGAGTGAAGCCATCATTAGGAATTTGGACTCCAGAAGCCGTTTGTCTCATGAAGAAGATTGTGCAGAACAAAATGGTCACAGTAAGAGTGGTGGACATGCTGGGGACCAGGTCTGTGGTGGAGCTTGTAGACAAGTCAGTGACGCCTCCCGTCAGCGCTTCTAAAGCTCTCATAGACTCGGGCTTTGCTGTTGAGGAAAAGGAGATGGCGGCAGACAAAACCAGCAGCATGCACACAGCCAGTGGTAAGTAGGCTGTGCAGCGGGCAGCGCAAGGCCAGATCCCACGGCTCCGAGAGTCCCTGCGCCAGGGTTTCAGGGCAACTGGTGTTTGAGTGTCTCAATTGAGCAGTCACATGAATGCACTCCAGGTGTGAGAGAGGTTTGTGTGGAAAGTGTCATTAATCAGAAATGTGTGACAGTCACTCAAGTGATAAGGTGAACTGCAATCTTGAATTTCAGGGTTCACTTTTCCAGGCTCCTTCACAACTGTCAGTGACAGCTCCCATCCCAACTGTATCTCCCTCTTTTGCAAAATGTTACTTTCACAGTTCCCTTGGGCATAGAAGAAACAGCGGAGCCATTGGAGTGGACGTGGGTTGAGTTCACCATTGATGAAACAGTGGACGTAATGGTCTGCATGATGTACAGTCCTGGGGAGTTTTATTGCCACTTTCTCAAAGACGATGGTAAGTCCGTTTTTCCCTCGTAGGACATTAATAGGTAACTTGTGTATTATTGCACAATAAAGCACTCTTTCTGAGCAGCCAAGCAGGGATTTGCGTTTCCACAGAGGACTCGATTGCACTAAGTTTGCCTTTATTCTGTCTTGGCCCTACTCTCTGTATTTAAACCATTTCAAATTTCATAGCATGTCTCCTAATATTGTAGTTGGAAATTAAATATATTTGTTGATGCCATTGCCTGTTAGATTCATAGAGACCAAATGCTGTACCGGGGTGCAGTGTTAGTTCACAGGTCATCCTGGTAGACAGCTTATCAGCAGAGAAGGAAAATGTTACCCAGGATCCCATAAGCTTCCTGCACCTCTCTTCCTGTCCTTACCCATTCTCTCTGCTTCAGGGGGAAGTGGGTCCCACATAGACTGAATTTTCCTAGTTTTTGAACCTCAACATGAAGCATAACCATTGTATTATGTATTTTTAGCTTTGCCTTGGTTACTATTCCTTCACATTGTTGTTACCACTAATTGGAATTGTTTGTTGTTGCTTAATGGGTGTACAGCAGTTTCTAGTTCTGTTTTCTTTTGTGGCACTTGGCTGGCTTTGAAATGATGATAATGTGAGCACTTGCCTCTGCTCATGGGTGCGTTTCTACCGTGTCCTCCTGAAACCCTGTTGACTCATGAGTGTGTCTGTTCTCAGTGCTGGCCGTCTTGTCATCTTGAGTCAGTCCCCATGCTCTGGCAGCTGTCACGTGGGGGTTTCCATTCACCACATCATCCTGCTTTGTCTTTTCTGCGTCACTGGAGCTGTGGTGACTGAGCACCGTTGCGTTTGCTTTTCTAAAGTCCATTCTTTCTCTTGCCCAAATAATACGTATGTTAGAGTAGATACTTAAGTCTTTGACTCAACTTCTAAGATACAGAACTTCTTCATTTAGAATCACCATGGAAATGGGCTGCTATTTTATATAGAACAAAACTCAGGGTGCTAGAGGCATGGCTTGGTGGTTAAGACACTGACTGCTGCAGAGGACCACCCACACAGCAGCTTAGAACCATCCGAGACTCCAGCTACAGGGGGTGGGGAGTCTGACACCCTCTCCTGACCTGCATTGACACTGGTCCCATGGTATGTGTCCATGCAGGCAGAACACTCAGACATAAAATAAAAACAAGTAAGTCAAATATAGTACAAAGTTCAGGGGTAACGGTGTGTCGTGGGAAGCCACCCCCCCCCTTGTGTCTTGTGGGCTGCAGCTCTTTTGCAGAAGCAGAAGCAGCCTGGTGTGTGTAGATGCCATCTGTGCACGTAACTTTGGATTCTTCTTTACCTTTCTCAGTGACTTAGATACCGGCTCACATACTTCTTTCCCAATAGGTTAAGTTACACATGTGTTGTTTGCATAGGTGGTGTGGAGAGCTCTGTGTGTGGGGTGATCCTGGGAGACCAGCACTGGATTGTGCTGGGTTTCCCCAGGTAACTTTTCCTTTTCTAAGATACCCTAACCCTAACCGGTCCAGGATAAAGCCTCCGTCTCTACATTGTTTCCATTTGTGTGGTTTGAGCCTAGCTTTATCAAAACAGGTATTGATAAAGATTGCAGCCCTTATATTCTGATTTCAAGACTGCTCTTTTAAAAACGTTTGTGGGTGTTTGTCTGCATGGGCCAGACACCTGGAACAGGCATTATGGTTGTGAGCCACAATGTGGGTGCTATGAACTGAGCTTGGGTCCCCTGAGCCGTCCTTCCAGCCCTAGAGCTGGCTCTTGGGACACACACGTCAACATCACGTGATAGGTTAGTGGGTGAGTGTGCCCTCGGTGCTGCTGCAGCAGCATGTCCTTGCTCACTCGAAAGCGGAAGGTTCTCACTGACTCGGCCTGTCTCTGTGACAGCCTTTGCCGGCATTGCGTGCCCGGCTTATTTGGCTGCTTGGGTCCCTTTCCTTTAGATGCCAATGCTGTGTGCTCATGTGTCTCTAGGTGGCTCCCGCCTGCCTGGTTCTCTGCTTTGCCACCTTCCCCCCACTAGCTGGCTGCTGGCTGCTGGCTGCTGTTTCCCTGCTGCACACTGCATGCGACTCTGACCTTTCCCTCTGCTGTACCTGCATGTTTCCTGCAGGACTGTGTCAGGCCTCTGGATGCCCACTGTGCTGTGCATTAGCAATTATGTTTGCATGTTCAGGAAGGAACTATCTTCACGGGTGTGTGTGTCATCCACGCCTGTGTAGCAGCGGCACATGCACTGGTTTTCAGTTTATTAAGAATTTAACGGAACATTGTTGCATTGGCTTAATTTTTGTGTGAAAGGAACAGCATTTGCTGTAATTACTGGTTGTTTAGGGTGTACTTGAGATTTTCATGGTGAACAAGACGTTAAAAGAAATCTGTTTAACATTACTCATTCTGTGTATTTTGTTATCAGCTCTAAAGAAGCTGGAGGACCTGAACAAATCATTAGCAGAACATTGTGCACAGAAGCTTCCAGATGGCTTCAAGGCAGAGCTAGGCCGGCCTTGCTGTGCATTTTTTGCAGGTAAGATAGAGTTGGGGTCAGTGGCTGTGCAGACCTTTTGGTTCCTAACATTTAGACCTTGTCCTGGTGCAATGATGATGTCTTGCCTTGGCATTCTGTCCTTCCACACCTGAATTCAGGTGTGAAAAGCTGTTCACCACATGACAAGGCTTTTACCGTTGTTTTTTGTTTGTTTGTTTTTTGAGACATGGTTTCTCTGTATTGCTTGGGAGTCTGTCCTGGAACTCACTCTGTAGACCAGGCTGGCCTCAAACTCAGAGATCCAGCTGCCTCTGCCTCCCGAGTGCTGGGATTAAAGGCGTGCACTGGATAGAGTATGAATCAACTCTGACTTGTATCAGCCATCAGGTGGTAGACACTTTAAAATGAGTGTTGGGGATCTTCCTCAGACTAGGGACTTTGAGAAAAAACTGAAGTTACGATCTGGAGGAGCACACGCTTGTCAGCTTTGTGACAGCGGATGCTTTCTGGAGAGGGAACTTGAGGGTACAGGAAGGGAGACTGTCAAAGACTCTGCTGCTTCCGCTGCTTCCAGGTGATGGCAACTGGTACCGGGCTCTGGTCAAGGAGATTTTACCCAGTGGAAATGTTAAAGTGCGCTTTGTGGATTATGGCAACGTTGAAGAAGTCACCACAGACCAGCTCCAGGCAATATCACCACAGTTGTTACTGTTTCCATTTCAAGGGGTACAGTGCTGGCTAGTAGGTAGGTGTCTGCGAGGGCTGTCTAAACTCCTAGGAAAACAACTTTGTGTAACACTCTACCTTTCAAGTGAGCTAGAAAATCCCACCCTATGCCACAAAATGTAGGAACTGAGTGTTTTGGCCAGAATACTCGGTATGATATGGAAACTGTGCCCCAGCTCTGGGATGAGAGCTGGCGGGACTGTCGGGACTCTGAGGGGTTTTCAGGACTCTGAGAACTCAGATATGCAGGCATTGGTGATCACATGACCCATGTCAGGGCGGTGAGTGGACCTCTTGAAGGGTGACTGGGCTCATGTTGGGACACTGTCTGGGACTGAATTTGTGACGAGGTGTTTGCTGTCACCCTGCTGCTGGTGCGGTGTGGGAAGACCCCTGGGGTCGGAAGACCAGTGGCTGTGGAACCAGCTGGTGCGGAGACAATCCGACAGGCACAGGGAGCCGGCAGTGCAGACGGGGCTCTGGACCTGCTCTCTGACAGGCAGGTTATTTAAACTGCACCGTTTTCCTGTCTGGGAAAGCTAGTCTGGAAGCAGAGACAAACATGTAAAGACTGTGTGTAGCAGGGCTCAGCACTGTGCCTGTGATAACTAACTGCTCCATAAACACAGCGCGTCCTTGTTAGTGTCTGAGGGCGTTGTCTTCGCTCTGAGGCGTGGCCTCGTGTGGTCAGGACCTGGAACTAGTGGCCCTTCGTGCCTTTGCCTCTTCACTCCTGGAATTATAAGCATATGTTCACTGTGCTTGCAAACATCTAGGGGAGTGTATACATTTTCACGTTTTCCATTTACATTCACCACTTGTGGAAGCAGCTTGGCACAGATTCATAAACAGCAGTGTCTGGCTCTTAGCACTCAGGAAAATAGCCGCTGCCCAGGGAGGGACACTAAGCAAAACAAGACCCTAGCTTAAAATTCCGATTTCTGTGGAAGTATTTTGTTTTTGTTTTATTTTTATTTTTTTGAGACAGGGTTTCTCTATATTGCTTTTGACCCTGTCCTTTAACTCACTCTATAGACCAGGCTGGCCTTGAACTAAGAGATCCGCCTGCCTCTGTCTCCTGAGTGCTGGGATTATAGGTGTGCACCACCACTGGCTACTTCTGTGGAAAGTGATACCAGAGCATGTGTGGCCATGTTGGGGAGCACAGATGTTTTTCAGGTCTGTTGTTTGTCCATCTGTCTGTCTGTCGTGCTGTGAGGAGGCATGGGACATCACACTGACTGACCAGCTCTGTACAGCGGGCATGCTATAGGTTGCTGCTCTTGTTAGAGACTGGGTTATTGTGTGCTCATATGTGTATGTACATATGTGTTCATGCAGGCACGTGTGTGCCATAAGAGGACTACTTTACATTTCATTTGTCTCACTTTGAGAACTGAGACTCAAGTTGAAATGCTCAGGCTTGTGTGGTAAGCACCTCACCTGTGCAGTAATCCTACATCCCGTAGCTGCTCCTTAACCACCATGCTCATGTCAGTGTCTTCTGAAGATGGAGCCCCAACCACCAGCAGCCAGCGAGGGAACTTGTTTTTAAAATTCTGATTCAGTTTCCAGACCTCAACTCTCTGAGTTTGTTTTAACAAATTCTGTGAGTAATTTGAGGTGCACAGTCAGGGCTAGGAATCATGCCTAAAGGAAAAGAACAGGAACGACACCAGCGACCCCATCCCCGGCAGCTCCGGCTCAGCTGACCAGGACGGGGAGGAAGGATGGCCTGAACCCGAGAGTTCGGGTGAGCCTGGGCAAGGTAGTGAGACCCCGTCTCACTACAGAAGTGAAAAGCCAGAGCTGCCCCGAACCACTGGACACTGCAGAGGCTCGGTCACCAGGTGGCCACTTCTTGTTGGTCACGTTATTACCGTCCTCAAAGACAGTAATGGCAGCTACCGCCTCACTGGGGAGAGTTGACCACCTAACTCTGTGTTAGGTACAGTATCTGTCACTTGGCTTTGAGAGATGTAAATTTTTTTTAAAACCACTTCTGTATAAATTTTAAGAATTTCTGACTTAATATAAGACCCTAGTCTTGCCTGTCATAAGCTGACCTCATTCATAGGATTTTCTTTAATGTTCTTGTTCTTAATTCCAGATATACAGCCCAAAAACAAGCACTGGACAAAAGAAGCTACAGCAAGGTTCCAAGCATGTGTTGTGGGGCTCAAACTCCAAGCCAGAGTTGTGGAGATCACTGAGAAGGGGTTAGGAGTGGAGCTCACTGACCTTTCCACTCCCTACCCCAAGATAATCAGTGACGTCCTCATCACAGAGCACTTGGTTCTAAAAGGTGGCTCACGGCAGAAGGAACCTTCGGTTTGCAGACTTGCTAATATACAGAAACAGGTGGATGCCCAGGGAGTGACAGGTGATGGCGCCTTTAAACCTAAACCGTCTGCAGACTTAAATCTGTCAGCATTCACTTTGCTTGTTGGTGCTTTGGTGATAGCACCAAGCAGCAGGGATCACTGAGATTTTCATACATCTTACTCCACCTTGCTCTCCCCTCCCCTCCCATCCCATCCCTGCTCACCCCTCCCATCCCATCCCATCCCTGCTCACCCCTCCCATCCCATCCCTGCTCACCCCTCCCATCCCATCCCTGCTCACCCCTCCATCCCATCCCTGCTCACCCCTCCCACTGGTCTCCTACAGTTTACTCCTCTCCTGCCTTCTTTTTCTTTAATATATATCTTTATTTTATGTTCATTAGTTTTTTGCCTGCGTGTATATTTTTGACAGTGTCACACCCCTGGAATGAGTATGGACAGGTTTGAACTCTAGACAGGGGTTCACTCTGTAGCCCTGGCTGTCCCAGAACTCACTCTGTAGATCAGGCTGGTGAACTCTGAGATCCTCCTGCCTCTGCCTCCCAAGTGCTGGGATTAAAGGTGTGCACCACCGCTGCCTGGCTTCTCTTCTGCTTTCCCATGTGTATGCGCTCGTGTGCGTGCGTGCGTGTGTGCGTGTGTGCGTGTGTGCGTGCGTGTGTGCGTGTGTGTGTGCGTGTGTGCGTGTGTGTGTTTATAGTTTGGATTCTGTATAGGAAAGTGTAGCAGTGGTATTCTTTTCCCTAGAATTTTCTGTTTACCCCTCTTTTAGACCTTTCCCTCCTCACTCAGTCCCTGTCTCATGTATGTATGTATGTATGTATATATATATATATATATATATATATATACACATATGTATATATACACATGCATGTGATATAATTCTCTTTTCTCTATAGTTAAATAAAATTCTATCATGCATCTTATCCAGCTATTGCTGACCATTGAGGCTGGGTCCATGTCTGCCCTGAGCTCCTGGGTTGGTCTGACAGGGTTAGAGTGAGCAGGCATCTTGTGATTTGCCGACTCCAGGTATCACCCAGAGCGCCGTGCTGAGATGCAGCGGTGCCTCAGTTTCTCTCTGTAGCAGAGAAAGCGCGTTCCCCACAAGCTCTCATGGCTGCCAGTGCTGCTGTTGTGTCCTTTAAAGTCAAGATTTTTTAAAATAATCTTAAAACTTAATTTTATTATTCTTTGAAAATTTCACGCGTGAGTGCAGTGGTGATCTCATTTCACACGTGAGTGCTGTGGTGGCATTTCACTCATGAGTGCTGTGGTGACATTTCACATGTGAGTGCTGTGGCGACATTTCACGCGTGAGTGCTGTGGTGTCATTTCACACGTGAGTGCTGTGGTGGCGTCATTTCACTCGTGAGTGCTGTGGTGACATTTCACGCGTGAGTGCTGTGGTGGCGTCATTTCACTCGTGAGTGCTGTGGTGACATTTCACGCGTGAGTGCTGTGGTGGCGTCATTTCACACATGAGTGCTGTGGTGGTGACATTTCACACATGAGTGCTGTGGTGTCATTTCACACGTGAGTGCTGTGGTGGCGTCATTTCACTCGTGAGTGCTGTGGTGACATTTCACGCGTGAGTGCTGTGGTGGCGTCATTTCACACATGAGTGCTGTGGTGGCGTCATTTCACTCGTGAGTGCTGTGGCGACATTTCACACGTGAGTGCAGTGGTGGCGTCATTTTACGTGTGAGTGCAGTGGTGGCGTCGTTCCTACCTCTCCCCTTACCCTCTTTGGTGCATCCTGTTCCTCCTGCCTAAATTCTCATGCTGTCAGTGTTCTGACTGGCCAAGATGTCTCTGGTATGTTTTGGATTTGCATTCCCTTGAGTCCTAAGAATCTTGATCATTCAAACATTTCATGTTGAATTTTACACTTTTACTGGGGTAAGTCAGCCTTCCACGCTCCAGGGATGTTTGTACCCTCACAGCTTCAGGACTGCCATGGCTTGGGGAGGGTTAGGGTTAGCATGGCGGGGAAGGTGTAGTAGCAGGGGTGTGGTGGCTGGCACCTCGTGTCCACAGCCAGGGAGCAGAGGTGTGTGCGCTGGTGTTGAGCTCATTCCCTCGTTGTAGCTTCTTACTCAGTCAGGTGGGGGTACCACCTCCTCTCAGAGTGGGTCCTTTCGCCTCAGTCAAATCTCTCTAGAATAGTAGGGTATTTTTGAACATTTATTTTAAATTTAGTTGTCAGATAAACATACAGTACTTAGAAAATGTCACTTAAAATTTGAAGAATTGCATTAATTATACTTTAGAAATAGTCTGCAGGAGTATATTAACTCAAGGTTCTTATTGTTAAATAACTAATGTGTACATATTCTTAGAGTTGAGTAAATCCATTTGTAAAACAGATCTCTCGTCTTGGGAACTCTTGAGATATTGGTAATCAGCTTTTGGTGAAAATTTATTGACCTAATAAAGGAGAAGAGAGTAGACTGCATGAGTTTAACTGAAGGGCCTGTGCCCCGTGTTTTCAGCCCTCCCGACAGCGGAGCAGTGGAGGACGGTAGAGCTGCCGCTGAACAAGACCGTGCCAGCAAACGTGCTGGAAATCATAACCCCAAGCCTGTTCTATGCCATCCCCAGCGAAATGCCAGGTGAGGCTTCTTAAGAATTGTAACCCCGAAGCCTAGTTTTCACAACACAAAGGATGTGCCCTGTGTTCAGCCACCTCCTCAGCAGCCCAGGTTTCCTGTGATCTGTTGCTTCCCAGAACAAAAAAGGCCTCAATTTCTTCATTTAAAACACACATCACCTATATTGAATTGTATTTACTAAGCTAACCTTCAGTCATATAAGTGAACATCAACCAGAACTATTTCCAATATATTAAAAAAAACTTACTAATCAGTTAATAATAATTTTTAAGTTAAAAATTATTATTTGCATGTTTGTATCCTGGATCCATATAGTCCTACAGACCACAGATCAGAGTGCCAAATATGAATAAAGTTCTTCTAAGAGAAGTATGGGGGAATGTTAGTGTTATCTTTAATGTGAGATGATACAGATTTTGGTATCTTCAATGCATAGTTCACTTGATTAGACAAATCGAGAAAGGCAGAGTTGCGACAGTTCACACGAGGATTTTACCAGCTTTGTATTCTATGCAGATTATTTTCCATTAAGGGTGTAGGTTGAGTTGTGAAAATGTCTCAATTCTCAGTAACTAAGCAGCATTTTTATGGCTATTTGTATACTTCTCAATATGTCATATAAAATAAAGTGATACTAAGTATTGCTTGGGCCATGGGAACCATAGATTGTCAGAGACAACCCTGAACACTTTCCTTTCACTCACACAGATTGAAGGCAATGTTTTGTGACTTTGGAAAAAAGTTGAAGAACAATATTGTTGTTACCACTATTCCTGGGGTGACAATTGGAACCAAAGTTCATTTCTTTCATTGACAAAATGCCCTAATCGATATGAGCAGATCCTGACGAACACAACCCACTGGCTTTCTAATGCTATAAGGGTGGTTTCGTGTATTTAAAAGATTGCTTGATTATAAGCTTCCGTTATGGGAAAGAAACTGCAAGACCAATCTTACATGCTACTTTTCTTTATGATTGGGCTCTAGTGTGAAACATTTGTCTCTAAACAGTAAGACTACTTAAGGCTGATGTAGCCCCCAGCTCTTGGTAGCAGCTCTCAGTAACCCAGGCTCCATCCCTAGAACTATCTTCACAGAGGTGCCATGGCATACCCTGTTATAAATAAGTGTAAAATGGAAATAACAAAATATAGTCAGTAAATTCTTGCTGAAGTGAGCACACTTGCAGAATCAGCCTCATTAGGAGATAGGCCCTCCGAACTCATTTCCCCTCAGTCCAGTCTTCCCGCATAAGGCAGCCAATGGTGAGTATATTCATTTTAAAGCAGTGTATATTTAATACTCAGGGCCCTTGGCTAATTAGGCTGGGGATTCTTTGTATGTAGTTGCTATATTGGAACTGAAGATTGTTTGTTTGCATTCCAGAAAATCAAGAAAAGCTGTGTGTGTTAACAGCCGAATTGTTAGAACACTGTAATACTCAGAAAGTTCAGCCATCCTACAGGCCACGGATAGGAGAAGCATGCTGTGCCAGATTCACAAGTAACAGCCCTCTAGTTGTTACCCTTTTTGTGAGATATAGATTTTGGTACCTTCAATGCATATTCCATTTGATTAGACAAATTAAGAAAGGGAAAATTGTGACTTTTCCATTCTATGTAGGTTATTTTTAGATATGGGTATAGCTGTACTCAGTTAACCAGCTCCAAGTAACAATGCTGTGTTGTGGTGGCATTTATGGAGCTCTGCATGTGAATGGACCAAAAGTATAGATAGACCGCCTTAAGTGACACGCCTAACATTCATGTCAACAAATTGCATTGCTGATATAAATACCACTTGTTGTGAATGTCCTGATTTGTTTCTGGAAGTGGAGCCCGACCACAGAGGTGCCGTGGGGGTGGGGGTGGGGTGGGGTGGGGTGGGGGTGGGGATGGTCACCATACCTGTGGCTCCCTGGGCAGGTGGGGCTGTTGGCAGGGTGGCAGCCAAGCAGGTACCCAGGGAAACTAGGTTGCTTCTGATCATAGCCAAGCCCAAGGAAAGGGAGTCTTTATGGAACTCTCCAACTTTGAAACCACCTGCCTGGGTTTCAGAGCTCTGTCTGATAAAGGCAGCCTTGTCTGTAGATGCAGGCAGACGGTTATCGGGCACGAGAGTCAGAGCTGGGACCCTCTTCTGCCAGCTCAGCAATGTCACATCTATCTTGTTTGCATTTGTGTGGCATCTGGATCTGAACTTGCTCTCATCTTCATCCCAGGGGAAGTTCGGGTGTAAAGACTCCCCACCCACTTCCTTACCCCGAGGCCCTGCACCTGCAGGCCACCCCCTTCAGGGCTGTGGCTCCAGTCTCCCCAGGTTCTGTTGCTGTGGTCTGTGTGTGTGTGTGTGTGTGTGTGTGTGTGTGTGTGTGTGGATCCTCCTCCTCTCTGTGGATCCTCCTCAGTGCTTTCACTGACCTCACCCCCCACATTGGTGATGAGCCCCCTCTGTAAGTTCTGCATGGCCATTGTCAAATTTTACCTTACTCTTAAGTCTAGCTGCTTGTGCTGTAAACCCAGGCTGTCCTGGTGTCTGTCCTCACCCTCCTGCTGAGCACGGTTTGAAAGCAGTCTGTGTCCTTCTCTGTCCTGTTGATGGCGGTCTTAGCTGGATTTCTTCCATTCCACTGACCCCTGCTTCCTTCCCTCCTTCGTCACTTGACCCTGACTCTTTCTCATAGGATCTGCGCCAGGGTCTTGATGTACCTCCTTGTGAGGTAAAATAACGACACAGAGACTTATTATGAAAGCTCGGCTTCAGTTTAGTCTTATTCTCACCTAGCTCTGTGTTCTGCCACGTGGCTTTGCCTGCTGGCAACTTCTGCCTGTTTTCTTTCCAGCGTTCTCTCTGCTCTGAAGTCCTGCCGTACCCCCTGCACCCCCTGCTTGGCTGTTGACCATTCAGCATGTTTGTTTGTCCTTTTAGACCAGTCACAGCAATACATCTTCATGTACTGTGCAAAGATCCCACAGCAAAACCGTTTTCCTTGAACATTTTGAAAGCATTGTTTTGTGTTAGCTCTTTTATTTTTGGTGAAACGATGGGCAGGTTCTCCGGGATGCGGACATGACCTGCATTGTCAGGGCCTTGCGTGACTTTCCCTCTTGTGGTTTGCAGGTTGGGCTGAGTTCATATGGTGGCTTTCTTTCCACACTGCGTGGGCACTCATGAGTGGAAATGCTTCCGTTTGGGCCCTGTCCCCCCACGTCCGGAACTTAGACTCTGTATCTGTTCTCTCCTTTGTTCTGTCCTGTTGAGGGGCTGCCTGACGTGGACAGGGTTTGTTTGCTCTCCGCTCTGTTCCCTTCCTCGGGGTTTTTATCCCTACTTTTCATCCTGAGGTTTTAGTGTTTCATTTCTGTCGCTCCTGTGCTCTCGTGGGTCTGCTTGAGTGCCATCATCATCCCCTTTGTACTTTTGAGGGTGGGATGCTCTGCCTTCCTCCTCTGTGCCTTCATCCTTTACCCTCTGAATGGGCAGTGTCCCTTTCCCCTCTCCCCCGGCCCCCCCCCCAAGGTCCTGTGTTTGCTTTGGCCTTCCCTGTCACAGGAGAGGCTTGCTAAGAACGGGTACCCTCTGTGGTCTTCGAGCGTAGGCTTGCTCTGGTCCCACTGGTCTCTGGAGAAGTGCTCCCCTGTGTGGTGGCCCAGTCCTGACTGGAATGTACCTTTGACCACGTCTTTGGTAAACTTCCCTCCTCAGCCTCACACTCCGCAGTTTGTAGTCCTTGTAAGCAGGGAGCTCATCATTCTCTTTGGTAAACTTAAAAAACTTAAAAAACATGCTGCATGTAAAAATGTTTCTAAACTGCAGTCTCCTCTCGCCTGCCTGGGTCCTGGAGGCCAGGCCTGAAGGGCACATGTGAGTGACCCTATCGGCTCCCCACCCTCAACTAAACATGTGTTCCAGCCACACATGTGTTCCATGATCTTCTCATATCCTATCCTATCCCTGCAGTTAAAAGGCAAAATCAGAACTTTTATGGTCTCCATAGAGGGGTTTGGAAGGAATATAAAAGAAACCGGAACTCTTGGTTAGATATTTGTGTGAGCTTTTAAGTGTTGTACATAAACCATCTCAAGGAATGGGAAGGGCTGTGGGCTGCACCTTCTGGGCTAAGATTCCTCTGTTTGCAGGTGATGACCTCTGGTACCGGGCCGTCATCCTGGAAACATCAGATTCTGATGTGAAAGTACTGTACGCAGATTATGGAAACATCGAGACCCTCCCTCTTTCCAGAGTACAGCCAATCCCTGCCAGCCACCTGCAGCCCCCTTTCCAGATCATTAGATGCTCACTCGAGGGTATACTGTTCTATTGCTTTCCAGATTTGTTCTGTGGAATGTTTGCTCCTTATATTTCATAGCTCTATGTCTGAATGAAATGGGTTCTATAAGATTGATACCAGTGGTCGTGGTCTGGGCTGGGTGTTTCCAGGTTTTTGACCTCTTCAAAGGAGGGTGAATCCCAGGCCTAGAGATGTGCAGAAGGCTCAAGGGAACTGTATTGGGAGCAAGCAAAGATGTGGGTTAGAAGGAAGTCCTGTTGAAATGGACAGTAGGCCAAGTGAGGCCCCTCAAGGGCTGTGATTGTGTGTGTGTGTGTGTGGCTTCCTTTTCTAGGAGACCAAGAGAAGGGGGGGTTGGTTACTGAGTGTGCACATAGTGCACACAGGTAAAAGACCTAGGCTGCCAAGTACAATTCAAGAGTGTGCAAGCAATTTAGTGCAAGCTAAATTATCCTTAAACTTGACTTCCACTAAGTAACTTCTCAGCAAGAGTTTTCAAAGAAATTTTGTATGCTTTATTCTCTGACTGTCTTTAGTTTGTAATTCTGTTGGTGAGGTGGTGGGGGCTGCTTTTCTTGAGAGTGTCAAGGTTTGGGATGGTGCTTTGCTCCCTTTTGGGAAGCTCTAGTGGCAAGTGCCAGGGTGTGAAGCCAGCGGTCTGTGGAGCCCCAGAGGCTTTGGGGTTTTGTCGCTGCTCCTTGCAGGCGCCAGGAGTGTTCACTGGTAGCACTCTGGCCGCCTGGTTTGCCTCTAGAGCAGCCGGTGACACACTGTTCATTTGGAACTTGGGTAGAGCAAACAGAATGATTAAGGTGGCCCTGTCCCGTGACTGTCATCCCTTTCCTCCCAGACAGTGACCACTGACTGCAAGGTTGTGTCTGCTCGGTGTGGTTGGTGCCAGCAACCGTGCCAGTAGCTACCTCGTTATTAGATTTGGTGCCTTAACGGCACACCCACACCTGCAGAAGCCAGCAGCTGAGCCAGTAGTTACCTCATTAGTAGATAACTTACCTAACAGGGCCTTTTAAAAAGAGACTCGTGGGGATGAAGAGACTTCCGGTGTTAGAGCATTGGTTGATCTTGCAAAGGACCTGAGTCAGTTCCCTTCGCACACATGGTGGCCGGCAGCCATTTGTCACTACACGTGAGAAGCAATCTGTAAGGAAGGTTGTAGTTCACGAAGCACAAAGTTTGCTCTTTCCAGGGCTGATGGAACTGAACGGAAGCTGTTCGCAGCTGGCGATGGAACTCCTGAGAAACACCATGCTGAATCAGAACGTGCTGCTTTCTGTGAAAGGAATTTCAGAGAATGTCCACACAGTGTCCGTTGACAAGTGCTCGGAGAACAGTGTGGTCAGTGTAACCGAGAAGCTGCAGAAGTGTGGTCTGGTGGAAAACCCCAAGTCTAACAGGAAAGGTGCCTCAACAGCAGGTACCTTCCCAGATGCAGCAAACACATTGCATATGCGCCAGCCCATGAGATGGTTGGCTTGAGTTGTCCTGATTGGCTCATTTCTAATGGCTTCAGTCCCCTCCACCCACTCCTCCTGTCTGTCCCGAGGTGGGGGACAGCTTTGCAGCAGGAGTCAGGACCCAGAGCTGCGGTGGTTACACATTGTGCCTGTGCCTTTATAGTTCCCCTTGTCCTCATGGACAGCAGAATTCCTTGTGTTTTTGAGATTGAATCTTGCTGGTAACCCATGAGATCTGCATTTGGCACACCCACCCTCACCCAAAAGCCATCCTGTATGTCACAAAAGACCTAATCTCAGATGGGAGCCCTGGTCTGAGTGTCTAGAACACTGCAGATAAGTGGGTGGGGCCTGTTGTGTGTAGTTGATACTCAGATAGGTGCGGATAGGTGCGGGCTTGCTTAGGTCTGGGGCTGCTGATTTGCTCATTGACGTGACCCATAGCTGGCTTCGCTTGTTTGCTTGCTTTTAGAAACAACACACAGCATGGATTGTTGCTGCACGGAGTTACAGAAGCAGGTGGGTACTGCTCACTTATGTGGAACTGCGTTCCTAACATTGTGAGAAAGTAAATTAACTGTTCCTTTTCATCTATAGATTGAAAAACATGAACAGATTCTTCTCTTCCTCTTAAATAATCCAACCAACCAAAATAAATTCATAGAGATGAAAAAGCTGCTGAAAAGCTAAGTAAGTTTCATGTTTCTGCCCTTCCTCTGATTGCCCATAGGTGCCTGCAGCCGGGCTGCCAGCATAGAGCCGGCACCTTGTGAGCCATGCTTATTTGGGGGATGCCCTGTGCTAATTTGATGTCTGTGCTCTGCTGATTTTCTTCATCTCTTGCAATGCACTGGACTCAAGGGTTTCCACGAGCAGAAGCCTCTTCTTACTGTTTGACTCTGAAATTGATCATGTTCTTGGTGCATAGAGAGGCTTGTAAGGATAGTGGTGGGTTGAAGCTTTGCCTCAGACTGAGTCCAGACTTGGAAACATCTCAGGCTGTATTTGGGCTCCACTGCAGTAAGTTAGCACTTAACTTGGGGTAAGGATGGGCGAGAGTGGGAAGCAGAGGGGCGGGCTGCTGGCTGCACACTGAGTGCTGTGCTCTGGCCCCTTTCCAGCACATACACCCCATCTCTCCAGAACAGCCCATCTCTCCAGCACACCCCCCATCCTTTCCAGCACCCACCCCCTCCTTCCCAGCACCCACCCCCTCCTTCCCAGCACCCACCCCCTCCTTCCCAGCACCCACCCCCTCCTTCCCAGCATACCCCCATCCTTTCCAGCACGAACACCCCCATCCTTTCCGACACAGTGACCTTCCTTGGAAAGATACTCGACAGTGCTCCTACGCAATTTCAGACACTACTGGTATTTTTGTTTCTAGAAAGTTAGGGGGCTGAGCACCTTAGGCGTTCGCTCTACAGCACATGCCAGTTCCCCGTCTGAGTGCACTGCACAGCATTATACTGGCCTGCACCTTCTTTGCATCACACATGCTGGGTCTCACAGTAGCCTTAAAGAAGCCAAGCTGTCACAGCCCCAGCCCCGGGAGGCAGAGACTGCAGTGACAGCAGCTCACGCTCCCTGGCTGCCGGCCTCGCCTACTTGGTTAGCGCTAGGCCATGAAAGACTCCTGCTTCAGAGTCTAACAGGTGGACGGGAGCTCGAGGAACAATACAGGAGGTTCTCCACTGACCTTTACACCTGTGGGCACAACATACGTGCAATGTATCTTGTCCCCTCCATGTACCTGCACACACCTGTATACCCCCCACAGTAGAGTGGGTCTTAATTGTTAGATGAGGAAGCAGAGGCTCATGATGTACATACACACTCAACACACACACTCACATACACATACACACTCACTCACACACTCCCTCACACACACTCACACCCTCACACACATTCACATACACACTCACTCACACACTCCCTCACACACACTCACACACACTCACTCAACACACACTCAAACTCACACTCACATATTCACTCACTCAATACACACTCACTCAATACACACTCACTCAATACACACTCACTCAATACACACTCACTCACTCAATACACACTCACTCACTCAACACACACTCAACACACACTCACTCAACACACATACACACTCAACACACACACTCAACACATACACTCACATACACATTCACATACACACTCACTCACACACTCCCTCACACACACTCACACCCTCACACACACACACACTCATTCAACTCACACACTCAAACTCACACTCACATATTCACTCACTCAACACACACTCACTCACTCAACACACATACACACTCAACACACACACTCAACACACACACACTCAACTCACACTGTCACAAACATAAACACACAGATACACACTCAGCACACATATTCACACACATAACACACATCTCACAACACTCCTACACATACACACTCAGACATACACACGTACACACTTGCATACATGTGTACACACACATACACACACACTCATACTCACATATACTCACACACGTACATATATACATACACACACACACACACTTAGACATACACATGTTCACACACTCACACATACATACACACACACTCATACATACACACTCAATACACACAAACACACTCAACTCACACACACTCAACACACACACTCACTCACATACACATACATAAACACACACTCTCAGAGATACAACTCAGTACACACATTCACACACAAAACACTCACACACAAAACACTCGCATGCATGCATGCATATACACACACACTCAGACATACATGCGTACACACACTCATACTCACATATACTTACACACACTCATACACATACATATATACATACACACACACTTAGACATACACATACACACACATACACACACATTCTCACACACTCACACATACGTACACACACACTCAACACACACACACACAAGACTGGGTCTTACAGCTTAAAGGTGAGGCGCTGTTTTGGGCTACAGCGTCTTTGCAGGTCAGTTCAGAGTTGGAGAGCATCAAGTTAGGTGATGGCATAGGTGCCCACACACTTTTTCTCATTTTAATGGGAAATACAATTGAACATTCTCACCCTAACTAAACTTCCTAGAGATGGGGAAATGTGTTTAAAGATTTAAGACTTTAATCACTTCTTTTTTTAAAAAGTAATTATGAGTCACGTATGCTGTATATAATCACATAAAAAGGTGTTACTCAATTATAAATTCCCCAAATAGGAGTGCTATCATGTATCTTAAAGAGATAGGTAATACAAAATTTGTTTTTTATATGGAAAGAGTTCTAATAGCTGTGTTTTGTTTGTGAAGGAGGGCATAATTATCTGATTAATGCCAATATCAATAAAAATTAAACACTGTTGTGTGTTTAATGTTTTATCTGACAGGTATAATCTGAGTTTATGTAAACTCAGTTAAGGTATTTGGTTTGCTTGTACTAAAAACTTAAATTAAGAACCACTGTGCTTTTGTGTAAACAAGAATGACGATTTCTCTTTCAGAAACAACGTCTCTGGGAAACAGACACTGAAGAGAGAGGAACAAGCAAAGCCGGACGTGAGAAAGAATTTGTCTTCTGTTTTGAACTTTGTTCTGAGGGTTGCGCCCCTCCATCCCCCCCCCCCCCGTTCTTTTCACAAATACTTGAATCTTACATGAGAGAGTCATGTAATAGCCAGGCGTGATGGTGCATACCTGTAATCCCAACCAGAAGGGGAACGAGGCAAGAAGACCTTACATTGAAGGCCAGCATGGGCCTGTAGTTTGGTACTTTGTCACAGTTTCTGAAGAGACAGGGAGTGAGGCGTGAGGCGCTGTCTAGCAAGTCTGTGTGTGTTCGCTCTACTGAGTATGGGAGCTAGAGCCTCGCGTGGGCTAGGCAAGCACTCTGCCTGGGAGCTACAGTCCAGCATGGCATCTCCTGCTGCACCAAAGTCCTGAGGAGAGTAAGTGGGCGTAGCTCTGCGTAGGTCTAGCAGACAGACAGCAGACGAACAGACAGGCTTCAGCGTCTGACATTTGCAAATGAGATTCCTGTCGCCTCTGCCTCTTCCCCTAATAAATGTGGTTTGGTTCCTTTGCTTCTGAATTGTGTGCTCCCTTTTTGTGGCTTGTTCCAAGAGCAAACACTGCTTCTCGTCTCGGGCTGTGGAGCGTCCTGAGCTCCAGCCACTGCATTAGGAGACATGCCCTTCTGCTCTGACTTCTGCTCTAGAAATAATTTACTATTTTCTGAGACACATTCAGTTATCAATTTAAATGTAAAAATTGAGAGCACATTTATTTTCTCGTAGCACATGACCAGATTCTCCTAAACTCACCTGTGTGCAGAATTGTGGGCCAACGCCTCCCTGACAGCTCCAGTTTTTGTTGCAATTGTCCCGTGGTTTCCGAAGACATTGCCAACTCGGTCTATCAGTAAACACTGCTGAGTGCGTTCGTGAATTTTTCCCTTTTTATTTTACTGGCAATGTGTGTTAGCTCTCCTGTTAAACAGAACCGTTCCTCATGTAAAAGCTTGGTGTGCCTCTGCTTAGATAACTTGTTTGTTCTAAATGCCCAGTAAACTCACTTGTCTCCACCTTGCCCTTCTGTGCGGATCCTTTTGGGATCCACTTGTCCTGTCACATGCAGAAACACTTGGTACCGAGCTCAGGCATCTCACCTGGCTGCATCCAGGTGGGAACAAATGCAAATGTCATCCCTGCCCGCCCCACCTGGCCGCAACAGCTTTGACGGTGTCATCTCAAGTCAGATTTCATCGCTTCACATCCACAGGGCCCTGGCAATGTGAACAGAGAAGTGGCACTTCACCCTGGAGGCTCAGCTTGTGCTCAGAGAGGCCACGTGGCTCCTGTGGCGCCAGTCACACATGTGGGCAGGAACAGTGCTAAGCATCTGTGTCCCGCTGGGCTCTGAGCTGCAGCCCTGTGCTTTGCTTCTGACCAGTTGCAATTTACCAGCAGCTGTGTGTTTATTCCAGATACCTCTCTAACTCCAGGCATTGTGATACGTGCTTGCTTGAGTGATGTGTATGGCCATGGAACCCAACTCCAGCTGGGGCTTCAGGTGCCCTCAGGAATCCATCCAGTTGGGCTGTAGCTGAGGGCACTGAAACAGACCATGGTGTCTCCAACAGGTGACCTCCTGGACAGAGGCCCGACAAGGGGGAAGGCTTTGGGGAGGAGGAGTGGGTGGGAGGGCTATCTGGAGTTACTCACACACGTTTTCCCAGGGTTCTTTTTCTGTATCTGCTTAGAATTACCCAGGGCTCAAAACCAGGAGTGGAAGTGATTAATGCTCTGAAATTTTGCTCTTCTGTATAAAATGAATCTTTTGTCTAGAGTTATCCGGACTTGTCCAGGGAATCTAGAGCAGCAGCTTTCAACCTGTGGGTCCAGACCCTTTGAAGGCAAAGATTGAAGGACCCTTTACGTTATGATTCATAACAATAGCAAAATTACAGTTATGAAGTAGCCATGAAGATAGCTTTATGGTTGGGGTCACTACAATAGGAGGAACTGTATTGAAGGGGGTCACAGCGTTAGGGAGGTTGAGGACCACTGAGTCTACTGTCAAACCCCTGACAGGACTAAAGGCCTTGTAAGCCTGCCCACTGGAAGCACCGAGCTCCTGCTCTGTCTCGTGTGGGCTCGTCCCCAGGGCACTGCCCC